CGAATCTCAGCACTCACGGCCGAGATCACTACCACAAGCGACTCAGACGACGGGTCGGACAACGAAAGCAGGACGGACGATGGATATTTTGCTTTGGAGGACGAAGGTTTCGATTGACGGCAAGGCAAGCAGATAATCGACTTGAGTTCAGTGGAAGATATAAAAACAGAACTTCATCTTAAAAGCTATCAAGCCCACATCTGCAGAGCCATGAACGCGACTTTCGAACACGACTCAATTCCAGTTGGGGTCGACAGCTGCACATCCTCAACAGTCGGTGGCATAAGGCACCTTTTCGTTGGGAAATTGACTCCAGTGAAGGGTATGAAATTGGAAGGAGCCTCTGGCTCCATCCCAATCGTTGCAAAAGGCACTCTGCAATTGGTTTTCGCGGACGACAATGGGCACACGCATCAGCACCTGATACACGATGCCTACTATGCTCCACGACTGAAGCTGACTTTACTGAGTCCACGCCAATGGTCAAAGCAAGGTCCAACTAAAAGAAAGGGAATGGAACCAATCCGAAACTTCAATGTGTGTGGTGACACCGTGGAACTACGTTTTGAGAACAATTGCGTCCGAACTGTCCCATTTGACAGCGAAACAAACCTACCGCTCCTGATGACAAAGCCCGGCTACTCTTCCTTCTCTTCACACCTCAAATCTCAGCACATTACGGCACAAGAAGCACGGATCCGACCAACAGCTTTGACCTTCCAAGATCTGCACCTCCCTGACGGAACACACCCCAATCCTCCATCAGAACGACAATGTCAAGATTGCGACCCCAAGGAAAAAGATCCTTTCGACCTGCACGGGACTACAGCACCAAGCCTTGCCAAGACCTTTGTCGATAACTTTGAAGAGCCACCAGCAGTCCTTGAAGATTTCAATTTTGAATCCCTCCTCACTGGTGAATGGGATGATACAGCGCCAGAAGCAACTCTACCATCGCTAAATGAGACGGATAAAAAGACTCTTTTGCTCCGATGGCACTACCGCCTCGGACACATGCCTTTCAAGCACCTCAAAGCCAGTGCCAAAGAAGGCCTCATCGATCGTCGGCTTGCAACTATCAAAGAATTCCCATTCTGCCCCGGTTGTCAATTTGGAAAGGCAACCCGACGACAATGGCGACATCGCTCCAAGAAGAAAGACGGCAGTCGCAAGACTCCACGTCAAGCAACCAAGCCTGGATCGGTCGTGTCGGTCGACACCATGAGCTCCACTAGCGTCCCAGGTCTGATGCCCCAACTTCGCGGACACCCCACTATAGCACGATTTCATTATGCTACAGTCTTTGTTGATCACTACAGTGACCTGGACTACGTGCACCTTCACCAATACAACGATGCCAACTCAGTTCTTGAAGCCAAACTTGCGTTTGAACGCCATGCAAACAGTTACGGTGTGCGCATCCAACACTATCACTGCGACAACGGAGTTTTTGCTGATAATTCCTTCAAGGCAGCATGCAAAGCTGCACACCAAACACACACCTTCTGCGGAGTCAATGCTCATCATCAAAATGGCAAAGCCGAGAAGCGTATCCGTGACCTTCGTGACTCCGCTCGCTCCATGCTTCTCCTTGCAAAGCACAACTGGCCAGCGGCCATCACAGCGCATCTTTGGGGTTTCGCTATGGTTTACGCTTCCCAAATCCGCAATTCCACTCTTCGAGAGGGAGAACACAGGACAGCCCTTCAAAAATTTGTTGATTCTGATGACAAACCAAATGTCAACGTCTTCCATACTTTTGGTTGTCCCATCTACAATCTGGATCCAAAACTACAGAGTGGAAGCTCCTTGGAAAACAAATGGTGTGATAGGGCGCGAATTGGCATTTTCCTTGGCCTCTCACGCGAACACGCAAATTCGGTATCGCTTGTTCTAAACCCTGACACAGGATTGACCTCACCTCAATTTCATGTGACGCACGACGAACGTTTCGAGACGACAGACATCCCAGCAATGAAGAATATTGGACGGTGGCAGGGATTGACTCGAATTCATGAGAAGAGATCCACAAAGAAGCCCAAAGCAAACAAAAGAAGAAAAATATCTCACACTCAGGTGCCAGAGTCAAGTGGTACCGAAACTCCAACGTCAGAGCCGATTGACGAGAGAGGACACCTCCAAGCAAAGCGCCACGAGCTCTCGACTCCAACATCAGAGACCATTGATGAGAGAGGACACCTGGAAGCACAAAGCCGACAGCTCTCGACAACTGAGCGTAACGGTCAAGATAGACTAGCTCAAACTGGCGGAACGGGGAACCCGAGGGACACCAGCAGAAACGTGCTGCCTCAGAGGGAGAACGGAAAGCCATCCCCGAGGGACACCAGTTTACTGCCTCAGAGGGAGAATCCGAGGGACAACGGCAAAGACTTGCTGCCTCAGAGGGAGAGTTATAGGGACACCAGCAGCTTGCTGCCTCAACTCTCCCACCAGACCCAAAGTCGAGAAATGAGGGAGAACCGGAGGACCACCAGCACACATTCACTGCCTCCATCCTCCCGAAAGGCTGAAGGTCAAACCCAAGGTCGAGAAATGAGGGAGAGTCAACGGGACACCAGCCCAAATTTGCTGCCACGACTCTCCCGAAAGGCCGAAGGTCCAACAACACCGTTACTTGATAGCGGGACTTTCAAACATCCAGCTCTTCAGAGGGAGGACAATGCGGGAACCCGTACAATCCAAGCACTGAAGACCCACGAATCTCTCTCTCAAAAGCGCAAGCGAGGGAGAGACGACGGGGAAGAAAACACAGCAAGTACCCTCGACCAAAAGCGTCTTGAATTTGAACTAACTTTGCGTTCTTACAGGACAGTAATTGCAAGGGAAGTCCATGCAGAAGAACTAGTGGACGAATGCATCACTGCCAATCCAATGGCCTTTGCAGCGACGTTAGCAGATGAGGATACGATGTACCTGCACCAAGCGAAGAAAGAAAGAGATTGGATTCACTTCCACACCGCAATGGTCAAAGAAATTGAAGATCATACGAAAGGAGGTCATTGGGAGATAGTTCCAAGAAAATCTATGCCACAAGGGCACAAAGCGATGCGAGGTGTTTGGTCAATGAAACGAAAACGCCGTGTTGGAACTGGCGAAATTTACAAATGGAAGGCACGACTATGCATTGATGGGAGTTCACAAGAAAAAGGCGTGAATTACTGGGATACGTATTCACCAGTTGTTGCATGGGAAACGATTCGAAGCCTACTAACACTCGCTATAATGAATGGTTGGACAACGCGACAGATCGACTTTGTCCTTGCATTCCCACAAGCAGAAGTTGAATGCCCAATGTACATGGAAATTCCGCGAGAATGCTATGTGGACGGGTCAGAGTACAACGAACAAAACGTTCTTTTATTAAAGAAGAACCTTTACGGGGCCAAGCAGGCGGGCAAGGTATGGTTCGATTTTCTCCGAAAGGGGCTGAAGGACATCGGTTTCAAACAATCGAAGGTCGACAAAGCAGTCTTCTATAAGGGCGAGACAATTTTTATCGTTTATGTGGACGATGCAATTTTGATGGGTCCAAACGGACGCGAAATTAATGACGTCATCAAACGGCTCGGACAAAAGTACAAATTAACGGACGAAGGCGATTTGAACGAATATCTCGGAATCAAAATGACCAAGACGAGCGAAGGTCGAGAATTGACCCAACCCGCCTTGATCCAACGCATTCTTGAAACGGTAAACATCGACCTGGACCGCGGAGCACGACGAGAAGTCAGAACACCAGCAAACAAAGTTTTACACAAAGATGAAGGTGGGCTAACGCGTCAACTTCATTGGGACTACCGTTCTGTAATTGGAATGCTAAATTGGCTGGCAAGATCGACGCGACCTGAATTGATCTTTGCGGTCTCTCAAGTCGGACGATTCATGGCCTTTCCCAAGAGATCCCACGAGGATGCCGTAATGAGAATCTGCTGTTACCTTCGCGACACACGCGACAAGGGTATGTTCATGAAGCCAAAATCTGGAAAGGGCTTTGAAGTATATGCGGACGCAGATTTTGCAGGCGGCTTCAACAAACACAGCGCCGAAGACCCAGCAACTGCAAAATCGCGAACAGCTTACCATATCATGTTTAACAATTGCTTGATCTATTCACATTCCAAGATGCAGACAGAGATCGCTTTAAGCACCACGGAGGCCGAATACATCTGTCTTTCCCAGGCACTGCGAACTGTGCTCGTTTTAATCCGATTTTTCAAAGAACTCGCAAAGAGAATCAAATCTTTCAACTATACCAAACCGATTTTCAAATGTAAAGCTTTCGAGGACAATAATGGAGCAATCGAACTCGCGACAGCCGACAAACTTCGCCCACGCACCAAACACATTAACATCAAGTATCATCACTTCAAGAAGTCGGTCCGCAAAGGGGAAGTTTCCATTCAGAAAATCGACACAAAAGATCAATTGGCCGATATCGGAACAAAACCACTCGACGCCGCCACCTTCGTTGCTCTCCGCTACCTCCTTATCGGTTGGTAACATTTTGGTCATTACTTCCTTTCCCAAGAGGGAGTGTTGGAATATTCGGACCCAGAGTCTGTACGCCGACCTAACGGAAGATGGGAGAATGAATAATGACCTCAAGAAAGGACGTCAAGAGAAGGGATCTCTTGACATCACAACTCATCAACTATATCTCTCTATATAACTTAACTACATAATCATATCGATCCTACCTGAAATCCATTAGATTCACACACTGTAGCTTTTCCAAATCAATCGATAAAATCCAGTCGATGTAGTCGGGGTATGCAGTTCGTTCCAGGTACCGACCGTATACTGTAACCCGCAGCGCGAAGCCCTTCGCGATTCATCCATTCAAGACATCAAACGAATTGCGAACCTACTACAGCACGCCCCCGAACGAACCCACCAACAATAACACCTCCTACTGTACATCCTGATCAATTCTGCCACCTCAAAGAAAGCATAGGCGACCGGCAAGGAGGCGAAACGGTATGGAGAGAAACACTGAGGCTTTTGTCTGCGAACACGACAAGGCTGATGTTCCGCAAGATGTTTCTTCGGTCCATTTCCAAGCGTCAGAGGTGTCAAGCAGAATTTGTGCTCGACGTCGATCTCTGGTCAGGGTTCATTTCGACGAAGGACTCAAAGTGATTGGTGAAGAGGCGTTCTTTGGTTGCTCTGCATTGAAAGACTTGGGTCTCCCATCGACTGTCAACAGTGCGGAAGCTGGAGTTTTTGCGGAATGTACAAACCTGACACAGATCGACATTGCCAAGACAAAGCTATCAGAGATTGCTCCAAGAACATTCCAAAACTGTTATAATCTGCGAAAAATATTGTTACCATCAACTGTGGGTGAGCTTGGTGATGAGGCTTTTCAATGTTGCATGCAGTTGGTGTCCGTAGAAATTGTGGTGGGCGGTCAACAAATGTCACGTATTGGCACAATGTGCTTTGAAGGATGTGAGTCGTTGCGAAACCTGAGTTTGGGAGGCTGTTCGGATGAACTGATGATTGGAGAAGACGCGTTTGAAGCTTGCGAGTCCCTTCTCGAATGTGTTCATTCCGAAGAAGCCCTTGTGAAGACGCTGAAGATGCGCTTCCACGGTCTGGATTTGCACAACTTGTGCTATGGCCATGCTCTGAAAAGTCAAGAGGAGCTATCTAAGGAGCTTGGTTTGATTGATACATCGATTACCTCCCAACAGGATGCTTTTGGGATGACCGCACTGCATATTATGGCAATGGCCGATTGTCCAAGCCTTGTCCTTTCCGAAGCACTCCTGGAGAGAAACAGCCGCGATTTGCTGGTCGAGAACCATTGGGGAGACCGACCTTTGCAAGAAGCTTGCGCATGTGGGGCTCCGTTGGAGCTAATCAAATTGTTCGTCGAGAAGCTTATCACCAGTTTTCCACAAGAAACTCCGGATTGGTTGTCCCTGATCCACGAGTCTGATCACATTGAGACCATTCAATATTTGGTGCGAAAGAGCCTTGACAAAAAGGTCAACGAGTTGGGATTGGAGAGATGGAAGACTGCAATCTTTAGCTCCTTGCAAGATATTGGAAGTGCCCCAAGAGCAAATGCTATGATTCACTACAATCGAACTGAACTTACTGGAAAGACGCGGATCGTGCAACAAGTCGGCTATATTCAGCACAACCTCGATACTCTCTTGCGGTTGGAATGCTTGTCGCTGTTGGAGCTCGCCATTTGGAAATGTAAAATGGCCATATCGCCTCCAGATATGGATAGAAATACCATCCACATACAATGCGGTGTAGGGGTGGTGATGAAGAACATCCTTCCGTTTCTAGATCCAATCGGTGAGCAAGTGGCAGTGTTGTGAGCAAATTCTGCTGCGATATTTGTGAAAGAACCTCTGAATCTGATTTGCTTCTGAATGGATTTGCCTGGAAGACTTGGTAAGCAGTAACGGACTTCCAATCAGTGGGTGGCCCTTGTCTTGATACGCAGTCAATATAGCCATGCTCCCAGTGAGAAACAGGCGCACTTCGCTCACCTGAGGGGCATTCCAAGAGTGATGTATTTGTAGAATAGAAGGGGGGGGGGGTCTTCTGTTACAGAAGAAATAGCGCGATACTGTAAGCCTGAGTAGCGTCCGTTTCCGTTCGATCAAATGACGATGTTCACTGAACGTGAAATCTCTGTATGGTATTTACTGAATGATAATGATTTTTTGGATCCTACCGTACCTTCAAGATCGGGATATTATTCTGAGAGATTTGCAGCCAAACTTGATCGGATGAAACACTACAACAGGAGATTCTAGCTCCGCAAGATATCTTCCAAGCTATGGGAACGATAAAGCGCACTGATCACCACACAATACAGCCCCTGGAGTGAGAAGAGGGGAAGGCTACTCGCTGAAATCTGATGTGTATTCATTTGGATTAATCCTTCATGAGATCGCATCTCTGAGACGGAAGTTGAGGCCAAAGCAATCTATGAATGAAAAGGACTCGTCATCTCATCCATCATTCATTGGAGGATACCATAAGGATGTCATCGTTGATATGCAGCTTATGAGTCACGTGTAAAGCGTTTGTCGTCGATGTAGTCGGAACTGTAACATTTCAATCATTTCCTTGAATGTGATCGACTTGGCACCAACATTGCCATTCAGAGTGCACACAAAGCTACTGTACGGACTTACTTCACTGACCAAGCAAGAGTATTGAAGTATTCGTATCCAAAAAGCGACCAAGCAGCGTGAATATCAAATATATTGAATATGTGGGACTAATAAGAGCCTACTTGCAACTCTTGCTCTGACACGTCGATGGATCTGAGATCAATCGATTCTTTCAAAATTATTACCTTCTGGCATTCACTTACATTCGCATCGCATTAGTAGGATAGTAGTCACATCTAGTACTGTTGTTAAACACTTCATTTCCATCAAATTCATCATCCGACAGGGAAGCTTCGGGGAAAGTGCAACATGAACAGGTATCAGAAGCTCCAATCAAATCAATTTGAGACTTCAGAGCTGAGATGTCACCAAGATGGTTATCTTTTGACACCACTGCGGATGATAAGATTTCGTTCAGAGTCATACATCTATCGAAGATAGCCAACTGGCGCCTTCTTTTCGGGTTCTTCTGCTTGGTGTTTCTTGGAGTGACTCTGGTGGGTTGTGGTGTGAAGCTGGTCCTTTTGAGTTGCCCGCGAAGCGTGCGACTCAAAGGACCAGTCTCAAATTGCCCGTAAAACGTGTAATCTGAGACTTGCTTGTCTGCCAGGCCTTGACACGAAGATCGTGTCAAGGCCCAACAGGGTGTGGTGGGATGGGAAAGAAAGAAATAACTCTATCTTTCTGTCAGCATACTTGCACACAAGTTCGATATGACGAGATCAATACTTCGGAGATGATCGCCTGCCCGTCGTTCATATAGTCAATATTGAATCCATTGCGGTTCGACCGCTTTCTTAGGTCTACGTTAGACTATCTAAGATCTAAGATAGCCTACTGCCGTCCTCCGTGTGTGTGTTCGTAGTATTTTGTCTTGGTGTGTAGCTCGTGGGTTGTGGTGTGAAGCGGGTCGAACGGATCGAGTAATAGACTCGATTCGTTCGACCAATCTCAGAAATCCCGTGTGCGGTATTACTGAGATCTGCTTTCCTACCAGGCACCGCCGATATGGTAAAATGGAGGCGGTGCCCAACAGGGCGGGTGAGGTTTGGGAGAGAAAAATTGAATTGCCACAACACAAGTGGGTGAATTCAATCTCAGTCGATAAACTGGGCATCATTGCCTCGGCGCATCGACAACAACTTTTGACGGTCGAAGGCCGAACGGCCTTTGTCCGTCTGTAACACAATGTAGTCAAAGAGATCGAACAGTGTGCCTGCGGTCTAAAGGATGTTAGAAAATCATGCGTGACAGCAAAATGAACCTGTTCATGCAGAAACGAAAGCAGAGGAGACGAGAAGAGGAGAGATGATGCAAGAGCTGCCGCTCGTGCTACTGAGAAGATGAGATTCTGAAGGAGGACCAAAAGATGAGATTCGGAAGGAGGACCAATTCTTGATCATTTTTTCTGTACGAAGGTAAAATCGAACTGGGAAATCGGTCATTAGAAATTTTAATAAAAATAGCTCTAGTGCAGCAGTGGTTCTCTCGAAGGCGCAGGATTGCATGAAACTAAATTGCTATATCGGGATTATTGGGTAAAACAAGTTCGAATCATCGGTTCACGGTCTTCCAGTACTGTACCTGGTATGTGCCTGGTACTTCCGTTCTCCAGAAGATTGTGGCGCGTGTTCCTATGGCCTGGTTTACCTCGCCTCCTCTGAACCAAATGCTAACAACATAAATGGAAGAGCAGTTCAACATGGCAGTAACTCAAGCGAAACCCAAGCGTCCTCTTCCTTGCTCCACATCGTCGGTACTGCTAATGCGGAATTGGGTTGCGCTGATTGTAACATAGCTGGAGGAATACATGGTAAAACACTCAATGGTCGAAGAAAGAATATTGAACGATCAGCATCGGTGCGTTAATCGTGGCCGATTGGCTGGCTGCAAACATTTTTGAACCTTCCAAGGTGTTTGGAATCACTACCCAAGGTATCATCTCGCCACTGCTGGTATACAGGTAATACGGCCTCTATGTCTTATTCTACACCTATGTAATAAATTAGTACTTGTACTGTATTATTTAATTCATGCCTTGGCAGCGCTTTCTTTGTTGAGAGAATCAATAGTCGACTCGTACGAGTGCGCGTTGCACTCACTGACGAATGCAAGTTGATGTGTTGGTTGATGACATTAATTGCTGAACTGCATGGTCCGAGGATACACCCGCACTCTTTCATTCTGCCATGGATGAGTACACGACAGTGAGGTATTTACATTCAGCCCACACTAAACCCACCCATGAAGGAGTAGTCAATCACAACAAGAATCAAGAGCAAAATATAGGCGACAATGACAGATGCGGACGACTTTCTGTTCCGCCCAGGGGGTCCCGTCGAATTGCCTTCCGTCCTGCGGCCTCGATTATTCTGTAGAGTCCCTCCCTTGATGACTTCCGCTCGATGGGCGCCCCCTTTAAACAACGGAGAAGGCGAAGAGAAAACTAGCAGCCGGACTGTAGAAGAAGAAGATGGCGATGTATCAAACAGCAAATCAAATGAGCAGCCTTTTGTCTTGTATCTACCGACAGTGGTCCTTCGGCATCGACATAACCCAGGATTTGCTTTGGCATGTCGACTGGCCAACTTCTTGCAGGTACCTCTGTTGGTTTTGTGCACTGTGTTGGACGACAAGCACATCACACCATCTTCCCTCCCAACCGGCGCCATGACAAATCACCCACCAATAGTTGCCATGACGGCACGAAAGCTTGCGTTCACATTGGAAGCCTTACAATCTTGTGCAGTTGATTGGCAGTCACATGGAGCAGGTGTACTGATTCGTCTTCATGGAGGGCCAGGAACTCGAACGCCTCACCATTTGACCTTGGCCCATCAAGCTTCAGCTGTAGTAACGGACGAAGCGTTTGTGGAACCCTATGCCAAGTACGCGGAGACAGTAATTTCTACCTGTCGCACGGCCAATGTTCCTTGTTGGACAGTTGACGGATCGACTTCAGTGCCTCCAAAGTGCAAGTTGAAACCTGTCGCTTTGCCCAAGACTGAGTCTCTAAAGTTGCAATGTTTCACAGGAGTACCAACCAAGGCTTGGCGATGGGCAGAACAAACAAAAGACAAACGGAAACCATACGTTTATGGGGCTACACAGCAGGGGCACTTGGACGCGCCTTCATTGGACTGCAAACTACCACCCAATTTCCTGTCTCAAAATCCTACGGTGGCTGGGCAAGAAGTCAGCCACTGTCACCAACAACTGGCAGAAACAGTCACGCCACTCAAGCACTGGAGAACTATCGAAGAGCGCCAAAGATGTAAAGGGCTTTGGACGGTGGACGATATTGTTGCAATTCAAGACTTGAAGGAATGGGCCATGACGTCCTGGCCTGGAGCCGACACGACGGTCGCACCTTGTCAGCAAACACATGGTTCAAACAAAGCCGCAATGCAACGATGGAAGTACTTTTTGCAGCAAGGTGGACTCAAGGATTACGCAAAGAAAAGGAATCAAATTACCTTGCCGCATGCCGTAAGTCGCATCTCTTGCTATCTAAATCTGGGAATTCTGTCCATCTTTGATGTTCTTCACGATATCTGGAATGCCCAGGCAACCGAAAAGGGATTCGCCACCGGGTGTGGCAAGTTTCTCGACGAAGTTGTCAAATGGAGAGAAATCGGGTACGCTTACACCTTTGCGAACCCAAGTGACTATGGTAGTTTGGTTCAGGCCATTCCAAATTGGGCCAAGACGTATCTAAACGGCCAGTATCAGCAGAAAACGATTGGCGACGTGTCTGGAACGCACCAGTATTCGTACGCTGATTTGCAACAAGCTTCCACCAAAGATTCAACCTGGAATGCAATGCAATCATATTTGAATGAAACTGGTGAACTGCACAACAATGCCCGCATGACATGGGGTAAAACGGTCGTTCATTGGCAGTGCCAGTATTGCCCTCCCGAACAAATACTATTACAGCTGTGCTGGCTGAATGATCGACACGCCTTGGATGGACTCTCTCCACCAAGCTATGCAGGGATCTTATGGTGTTTTGGGTGGGGCGACAAGCCAGGTCGATCGACGAAAATCAGCAAGTCTCCAGTGTCGACCAAGTGGGCGTGCAACTACCGAACTGGAGCTGACGGTTTTGACACTGCCAAGTACCGATTGTTGGAGGAAAAGCCAGCTATAACAAAATTGGAAACATCAGCTCACAAAAGGAAACGAGAGGATACAGGAGGACGACCCAGAGGTGGAACTCAAGGAGAAACGCCGATGAAAACAAAGAGTATCCGTTCCTTCTTTTCGCCAGTCTCCAAATGAACCAATCAAGGAAAGCAGGCGATGGCTCCATGAAAACGAGAAAGTTCGGTACGGCCACGTGTCGAAGAAGAAGTATCCACTCTTCGCAACAGGTCCATGAGGCCCGTTTCCAAAAGCTTGTATGAACATCCCCCGCTACTGGCATCGTGGAAGCAAACGAGCGGAAATTATGCCTCTGTTGTGGGTTCCGCCGTCTTAGAGGGTAGATAATTTGTGTAGCTATCCTGTATTCAACATTGCATTGCTCTGTAAAGGGTACGAGTAGTCAACTGAAAAAGTAATAAACTGAAAAAACAACGGTGAGATAGGGGGCCCAAGAAGAGCACAAATCCTACAGTATCCAATGGTTCGGTGATTGGACTGGATCGACTCGAGCGGCATTTTTTTAAAATCAAACATGAGAAAAGTCGAATACAAAACCGATAGCAGCAATTCATTAAAGTGAGGAGCCAAATACCCATCAAATGGTAAAGATACGCAATAAATTAATACGAAAGGGATCTACTCCACCTCAAAGGAAGCACTGGCTTCGACGGAAATATGTGTCGCTTGCTTGGATGGTCGTGTTTGGAGCACTTTGTCTATGGGTGATGACTTTGCTCCATCAAACCGTTCTGAAGAATGCTAGAGAACAAGACTCATCCGCATTACATTCATCACTAGTAGATAACGTCCAAATGAAATCGTTATCCAAGAAAATAATAGAGAGAAAGATGAAACTAAGGAAAGCGCCGACTCTGGAAGAAAACTCTGCTCTTGACGAAGCTTCGTCTTCGTCAGTCTCCCAATCAGTTGGCGAGAGTAGCGACAAGCCAGTTGACAAGAACAAGTATCACTTAGCCTTTTCAACAAGCTGCTCAAAAAATGATTGGCAGTCCTATTTGTTTTTCTATCTGGCCATGGCATTCGAACAACCCGGTGACGTGACACATATCGTTTCGGGATGCAAAGATCAAGAGACAGAAGACGAAATACGGCAAATGCACTTGGAGCAGCACACCAAAGCCATGAATGAGAATTTTTATGTTCACTTTACTCCAGAGTTCTCCGACAAAAGAAACTTTCAAGTGACAAAATACTGGAACAAGCCATTTGGCGTAAAGCATTGGTTGGAACATCGATTTGGATTTGAGTATGACAAATCTAAGGGAGAAGTTGCAAAGCCAACAGAGTATGATGATGATGTACGGTCGCTAATGTTTGTATCGCAGGGGCTTGGGTAGAATCATCTTTTGGATACTCACGATTCAGTTGTTGTTTGTTCGTCTCTTGTCATGTTCAGATTGTCATTCTGATAGATCCTGACATGCTCATGTTGAAACCCTTCTACAACAACTTTACTTCAGCTCCCATGTCAGTCTGGAACAAATACTTTCAGAGCCGCGCGGATTCCTTGTTCTATGAAGTGAAGCAGGGACAGGTGATTTCTCAAGAGTATGCCTTTGGTGGAGCGTGGCTAAGGGGTCTCAAGGAAGAGGGCAAAAATTTAACATATGTTCTCGGAACGACTGAGTCTCGTGTTCTTGGCATGTCTATGAACGAAGCATCCAATGTTTACGCTGCTGGCCCGCCATATCTTGCAACAGCTCGAGACTTTTATAACATTGCCTATCACTGGACTGGTATGTCCTGAACATGCATTTCATTGTGCATCTGTTTTTTTGAAAGCTAGAGAACTCACAAACATGTTGCTATACTATCAGACTTTCTACCACGATACTACGAGCAGAAACCAAATATGATGAATGAGATGTATGGTTATTCAATGGCAGTAGCTCATCTTGGATTGAAAATCCAACTAGCGAAAGGCTTTATGGTTTCCGACGTGAATATACTTACTGGTGAAGGCTGGGAATTCATGCAAGAAACATTTCCAAAGGACGAAGATCTTCTTGCTCACGCTTGTGATATGCCTCGTTATTCTCGGGACTCCCTTCCACAAGTATTACACTTTTGTCAGCGCTACGGTATTGGTGAATTCTTCATTAGCAAATACAAGGTTCCACGACGAACCTTTACTTGCGAATTTCCTCTGTACGAAGAACCACCCATTGATATCGCCACGGAGGTGTACACTCGCATGGGCAACTTTCAAACGACCCCATGGGACGCTACCAGCGGGGTACATACGGCCAAAAGAGCCGCCAATGCTTACATGGTATGCTCCTTGTACACAGCTCTCAACAAGGCAGCGACTTTCTTCAAAGATCATCATTGCGAACCAGGACAAGCTAACTATGACAAGGTTTGGCAATACTTTAAGGTATACGATAAAGACCCTCATGGTCCAGGTGGGGGAGGGAAAAGTAAAAGTAAACCATAGAAACAATACTGCTTTTGAAAATGCAAAATGATGTTGGCGTTATTTCTTTGCTATGGAGTGATGTATTGTATACTATATCAGTAGGATGCATATAAACATATATATACTGCAAGTCATATTCAGTGTGATTTTCAACGCGGTAGCTTTTGTTGTAAGTGTTGCTTCTATCATCAATGAACGTATCAGTAGGATGCATAAACATGAGTATTGCAAGTCAAAGTCAGTGTGATTTTCAACATGGTAGTAGCTTTTGTAAGTGTTGCTTCAATCATCATCAATGACGAGTGTATTCGGAACAGCAGGCAATGTTCGATTGACTGCATCGCGTCCATCTACTCTCGGTCCAAGAGCCACAGGCCGACATGCCCTTCCACAACTTCACGATACCGGCAGTTTTGGAATCCTTTTGCTTGTTCTTTTAGTTGGACTTGAATGTTTTCTTTGTATTCCAAGACGTAGGGTTCGCCTGCCAGCATGGAAAAGCTGGGTTCGTAGGTGGGACTAATGTCCAAAATGGCCAGTGTAGCACCGGGCGCCAACAATCGATGGGCCTCCTGGAGGATGCGAGAACGACCCCAATAGGGCGCTTCGTGAAAGCAGTACCTGTTGATGTATGTATAAAACAGGAAAGAGAACTTGTGTGTGAGAATGCAATCCGAGCATAATATGTAGAGGAACGACCATGTTCGGACAATGACTTACATGATAGTAGCCAAATCAAAGGTTCCGCCTTCCAAACCAGTATCTTCGGCATTGCCTAGATTGTATTCAATATCGCACAAGGCTTCGTCCCCAAGAACTTCGTCCACGGATGATGGAGGTGGAGTCATGTCATTGATACGAAACAACCAGTCGGAAAGGACCTGGACCGTTTGGGAGGCCAAAGATTCTGGGTTGCTCAATGCCTTGGCCATTCGAATCATTTGAGGGGAGGTATCAATGGCGACCAATTGAGATGCGTGTGGAAAGGCCTTTTGTAAGGCGCGTGTCGACATGCCAACTCCACAAGCCAGATCAACAATCTTGGGTTGTTGCTGGTTGGTAGAACTTGCATTGTCACTGTTGCTACTAGTAGTAGATGGAAAGGACATGATGGAATAGCTCAACTCGCGAGCGATTTGATCCCGAACATTTTCACCATTGTAGGCCGCAACGTCAATCAATTTGGTGGCCAATGGTGCGACACTTGCATGAATGGCTCCTAGTGGCCCCACGTTACCAAAGGTGTGAATCTTTGGGTGGAACCAATAGTCGGTTGGACCAGCATTAGCATCCAACTCCTTCTCGACTGGAGGCACTGGTACTACTGTAGTAGTAGTAGTGGTAGTGGCGGGAATAGGATTAAGCACCAACTGGTCTTGGAGTAATCGATCAATGGTTGGTTTGTACACGTTTTGTTTCGCGTCGGGTTGAAATGCTTCTGTCGTTGACATGAAAGCTGTTGCCAACAGTAGAATGGCGATAGAAAGAGAACAAGGTTTCATTTTGAAATTCTACAGTCTGCAAAAGAAAAAGATGTGAATCTGAGATTGTATTGTGGCAATGCACGAAAAACAGAATGAGAGTCCTTGTTGTTATTTTTGCTTTTGTTGTCGCGGAGAGAGCGTAGGCATCATCGTCCCCTGGAACAAACATCCACATACAATAAATGAAACCGAGACTTGAATAGAAATCTGTTTGCCGTTTCGCATCATTTGAAAAATGCACCAATGACATCGCCCCCATTTTCCATTTACAAACAATGACATTTCGCCACATCGCCAAATCGTCACTAGAGGATTGATTAATTCGTACCTATTTGCGATGGGATTTTTGGAAAACCAGTTGTTTTTGAATTGCGATGCAAGGATCGTCGACTGTTGTCGCAAAAGCAAACTGCAATTTTGTGCGGTGTATTGTGGCGTGTAGCGTCGAATGAGGTGGTGTCACACCGTTTCCAGGCTTCGAACCAGAACGAGAATTCCAGACGTCAAAAGTATCTTGTTTGGCGTTGTAGACATCACAGCAGAACAACCACATCACCAGTTCTTCGATTTGGCGGGAAGCCACCAACGACTCAACCAATGCAGCTATATTTGTACTAGTTTCTACGAAACGCCAAGTATCAAAATGGCTCGTTGTGCTCACAGGCAAGAGAACACGTCACATTTTCACCTACAGTTGAAAGTTCGGATCCCAACAGTGATATTCGAAATTCCCAAGAATTCCGAGCCGAACAATCAAACAATCAAACAATCGAAATTCTACAAACGACGTTGACACCCATGCTGATCCGCCGGTTCGATTGTCATGTCTCGTGGTCGTCGTAGAAGTGTCGTTATCTCCGGGTTCTTTGAACAAATCTTGCACTTGGAACTTCAAGGAAAACCCACCGTGGCGAAAGGCTGAAGATGGATTGTGAATTGCAAGCTGCTGGTGATGGAATATGGCATCAATTGTCGTACACGTGTTGCCGTGCAGTCATTTCCAAGAGTAGAAAAGAGTTTGGCAGCGCAACATGTCGACATGACTGCGAAACAGACTTTGAGTATTCGCAAACAAATCAAAAAAGTCATTCAGATGAGTGAGTGAATGAAAGGTCTGAATGGTATAATCCTTTCTTTCGCAACCTTGCTGCTTCAGTGATGAATCACTTGGCCATGAAAGGCAGCAGTCAGGTAGTTGGCATTCTTCACAAGCTGAGATACGTTTGTTTCATTGGTAAAATCTTCTCAAAAGTTATGGGCCTCTGCAAATGTTTGTGTGAGGTTTCAACGTGAGAGAAAACATTCGGTCACTTTTGAAATTCCGCTGGTACAAAACTTGCGTTGAAATCACGTGAGGCTTTTGCGCAAGTCGCGCGAACGCTTTTTTCAATCGAAGGAATCAATGATAATCGGCAGATTGATTGATTCAAACGAACCAAACAAAATGACATGCACCAACCACATATACCATTTGGATTCCTTCATTATACTGTAGTGCAAGAGACTGAATGGATTGATTACGCGCTACAAAGGGAAATTCAACCGATATCAAGAAGAAGACGAAGAAGAAGAAGAAAGAATAGGATACAGCAGGAAAAAGTTATCTATACACATTACACATAATCATCACCATGATCCGGTCGAGGCTACTGCTCAAGCTCAGTTGGTGCCTGATATGTTTGTTGGAATCGGTTGCGAGTCTACCAATGGAGCAAACTGTTCCATTCAAGCGAATGGAATGTTTCTATGATACTTTCCAGGAAGGGTGAGTTGAGATTTTTGAGTTGGGTTGAACCAAAATGGAGTGGATGCTGCATGAAGGAATGAACCGGCCAACGTTCCGGATTTGGATTGGTTCTGTCTTGGGAATATATCGTGATAAGAGTACACCGTGCATAGTGAACTCTGATTTTCCAATCTAACCACTGCGTTTGCATCTCTTTTATTATCCATTGTATACGTAATAATACAAAACTGACTGCCACAAAATAGGGAACGAGCCACCATGAGTATTTTTGTCTTGTCGGGCTCACCCTTGCAAGCCACGATTCGTTTGGAAGGACCCCTGGCGCCACTGGGAGCCGATCAAAATATGCAAAAATTTCACGAATCCGTCATGGAGTTTGAACGAAATCCAAATGCCAAAATGACTTCCGATGACTTTGTCTACGAACAGCAAGTGGTGGATTTTGAAAGCATCGAATTCGAACCACTCGAAGAAGAAGAAGCCGTAGACCAAATAACCGGAGACGACAAGCATTCCGAAGTCATGAAAGTTTACGAGCGGGCCAAACGACGAAACGAAATCGCCAAACGCAAGCGACAGGCGGTCCGAGCCTCGGACGATCCCGTCTTGTTTACCAATGGGGTGCCGAGAGCGGGTTGGTACCGAGGCTGTGTCGTGGCCCACGTGGACACCGTCGATGTGGAATTTGATTTGCGCAAAGAGTCGGATTATGGGATGCATCCCAGTAATGATCATGTCTTGTCACAGGATGATTATCGGCGATTGCAAGAAGATATAAGTTCCGATGCGGCCCAAGAGAAGGCTACTGCGGCCATGACGAAAAATGGCCGCCGCAATGTCCAACAACTACAATGGCAACAAGGAGAAATGGCCAATGACGAGGATTTTGTACAAGCCAAGGAGAAAATCAAAGAATTGCGAAGCCTTTTGGCAGACATTCAGTCCCTCATGGCCAAGGAACGTCGACGAGTCGCCACCCACAAACAAATTAACGAACATTCCCATCAACGAATGGTCAAGGCATCCTTTTGGGAAACTGTACTCTTTGTCGGCATTACACTCATGCAAGTCTACTTGATTCATACATGGTTTACTTCTGGAGCTCCAGTTTTGGGAAGATGATGACAGTAATGATGGTGACGAGTCTAAATAAATTAAATTTCCTACCGGTATATTATCAAGTTCAAATCGCGCCTTGTGTAAATATGTTTCACTTGACTTGACACAGCAGCAGCTTTGACAAAAGGCCCAAGAACGGATGTATAAAATATATATTTATCAGTTTATTAGTAAAATATTATATGATTTGGGTGGGTATCTCTATGTACGAATATATTAATGAAACGGGACTTCTTGGGGCCGCACTGCCTCGCGTAAAAACACAAAATTAGAGGTTTCTGTTGTTGCTTGGCGCATTCCATGTCACCTCTGGTTGATCCTTGACATGTTCCTGTAGCAATCTGCGTTTCATGCGGCGCAGTCGTACCACCATTGGTACTACGGCAGCAGGATGGATATTCTTCTTGGTGACGAGGCAGAACTGAGTGGTGGTCGACTTGACTGGTAGATGGTTGAGTGCTGGTGGACAAGAATAGGTCTTGTGGTGCATGGATGATGTACCCCGACTGGATACTGACAATTTACCACAATTTTTGCCAGAGCGACGACGCATCATGGGACGTCCTTTTGGCGAAAACAAGTCAATGTTTTCTTTTCGTTTGGAGGACTGATCATCATCGTCATGATGATGATGATGTCGTGCCGGTAGGTTGACCGACAACGACGAGAGAGGAGAAAAGTTGGAATAGTTGTTTGAGCGATTCATTTGAAAGAGTGTTCACGTGGTGTGGTATTTTATTAATAGCGAGAGATGCGCAAACTTTTTGTTGAGTGTTTTTATAATTTTGTGAGAATTTTTCGTTCAGTTTTTGCGAGACCCCGCGGGAATGGGTATGATATCTGCCGTTTAACGGTTCGTTACTCCGTCAATCCTACTTTGGATCTTGGGCAGAAGAAATTTGGCGAGTCGTGGTACGATTCGTGCGCTTTTGACTGGGATAGAAACCACTATATATGGCACAGTTTGTATACTCCTATAAAAAGGCACGATCAATTGTTGCGAGAGCTTGTAGATTTGGATATTGTGTGACACCAAGCAATCATGAGGTTTTCTAGGGAACTACAGTACACGTACTAGTACTGAAGGAGGAGCAGCATCAGGCCGGCTGTCTTCTTCTTGCAACTTTCTTTAAAATAAGGTGATTGATCATGATTCATTCAAAGATTGATTACCTCATTGGACTATTTTTAAAAAAGATGAGGAAAGCAGGTTGTGATAAAGTTTCAAATATATCTATAGTTGGTTTCAATGCCCTTTGACTCCAGTTGTCTTGTGGACAGTGACAATGCTACTGGTATTATTGTTTATCGTTTGAATGCCCCCAAAGTGTTATCGAAGCGGGGATCTCCCTTCCCTCAAAGAAAAGAAATATTTTCTTTAGATCGCGGACAAAATATGTTTGTTGCGACATATATATTCTTTCCATGCAGACGCGTCAAGAAGCTTTACCTCATATATAATGTGAACAAGTTTCTACAGTATCAAACAGGAGCAACAAGAGAAGCAGAAGAATCTTCGATGGATCAAAAGACGACAGAAGATGGTAGTGAATATTCCAACTGCAAAAGACGTTATCATTGGCAAAGGACGTGATCATGGTCATGATCAGCATCCTGGAAATCAGTACTGGATACATCTGATGAGAGAAAGATTGGAACATTACGACGAAGCGAACGAAGTGCGTATGTCAGTGTCGATCTACAAGCGAGTGCAAGAGACTGGTGCGCGTTTCTTGAAGTGTGATGACAACGGCGATTATTTTGAGTTAACAGACGAAGCTGCCAATCGCAAAACCTTGCAATGCTTAGTCGACATGAACCATCAACGAACATACGCAAGAGGAGTGTCACCATTTTTTGTCAACAATTGGACCAATACGAAGGTTGATGGGCTATGTAGTACACTCCGGACAACAACATCGACTTTGAAAAATTTGTCTGTCAAGTTCTCTGCCACTGCAAATTTCGCAAAACTGGTGGGAGCCTTGAAGGAAAACCAGTCGCTCAAGAAATTATCTGTGAACTTGACTATTTGCAAAGACTTTTCTTCCACCGAAGCCATGGTTTCTATGCTCTGTATGGCAGCTTCCAACCATCCAGAGATTTCAAGTCTGACAATCAAGGTTCCAGTAGCATTGGGGAAGACTTCAACGAAAGCCATTGTTGATCTGATTCGCGTTTCCACCACACTCCATGAATTGCGAGTTGTAGGTAATTCATCGTTGTCCACTGCTATTGCTCTACAACGTTATAATCGTGATGATGGCTCCTCGAAGAAGCGCATGAAGGTGTTGGAACAGAATCTCATGAATTCGTTGGTACAGCAGAACCATCACTTGAAGATTCTGGCCATTCCACACCGCATTGCTGGTGGGCACATTAGATTCATTGATTTTCTAAATTTTGTCTGGAACAATCCCCGGTTGGAATGTGTGAGTATCTTGGGCATGGAGGACATGACGGATGACGACATCAAGATGATGACCAACCTGCCCCGTCGCAACACGCCATTGGTTTGGAAAGTCGATTCGAGAATGGCCCATCGTTGCCAAGACTTTTTATGTCAACTATTAAAAGCTCATCCGGAAATCTTGGTCAAGCCAGCAGGCGCCACTGGTGTCCGTAAAAGAAATGCCCTGCCTCCAAAGGTACAATTTTGGGTGGATTTCCGTCGGGAGGGTCGCTATCTTTTGCAACGACCTGACCTTCCCTTGCCCGCATGGCCCCGTGTACTGCTTGCACGCGGTGCGAAGCCGGGTAGGATTTACGAGTTTTTGAGGCATGGTCCATTCTTTGCAGGACGTGGTGTGGGCTTTGTACAAGACAACCACAACCACGAACCCCCAGTACCAGCACCAGTACCACCAAAGAAGAAGAAGGAGATCCACAACTCAAGAAAGAGAAAGTTCGACGAGATGAATGCAAAGGTTATTGATGCGATGGATCAGGACTAGGAGCATCAGGATTAGTTCCATGCCATCACTCTATGTTTGATTACAAAAGCTTTCGTCTGTTGTGTACTACCGGTATACCATACAGTATTTGGTACTATTGTGTGATAGTACTGAAACAAGGCTTTGTCGTTCATCATATATGAATATATCTTCGCGCCCAACACATCCCTCTACTTCGTTTCTCCATTAGTCGCATTCCAGACACCACAACCATAACCACGGAACCAATTTCGTCACTCACACTACAACCATAACAGGGACAACTTCTGTCGTTCCTGCGCCATGGAAACCATCGATCTTACTTCCAACTATAACAACAATGCAGCCAAAGTAACTCCTCCTCAGCCCAAAGCACCTCCTCCTCCACCACCCGAAGATCAAACAGGCGGCGTTGGTCAGACCATTGACACCTTTGCCAGCTACAATCCCACAGCATTGCCAAACGAAATTGTGGAAGCATTGAATGCTGCTCACACGAATACACCGTTTACATTGCAGAAAACGGCACATCCTGAAATTATTGAACTCTCCGATGACGACGACGACAGCGACAACGAGGAGAATGAAAGTAACAATGACAATGACCATAAAACAAAAAAAAACGGCAGCAAAAATGATAGCCAACCTCAACGTCTCGAGCTAACCTGTCCTTCCCATACGTCTTTGGCTTGTGAATCTGCATTGCTTTCCAGTGTCCGAGCTCCGCAAGTCCCCCTTGCGACCGCCGAATGTTTGTTGGAATTGGCCCAAAAGGGCGCTCTGTCGCCACTCCAGTTGGAATCCGTCCTGTTGGCCATTCAACGGCACAATCGCAAGTTGGACCAAATGCGAGCCGGTTTTTTCATTGGGGATGGCGCCGGAGTGGGCAAGGGCCGACAGATTGCGGCCATACTGCGAGACTCCTTTTGCCGCCAGGGGCATACCCGTCGTCATGTGTGGTTGTCCGTCTCCCAAGAATTGGTCCAAGACGCCCGCCGCGATTTGACGGACATTGCCTGTTATGCAGAAGTCCACGATGGTACCCAATTTCTCAATCGCAAACATGGTCTGGGGATTTCTGACAAGGGTGTCTTCTTTTGTACTTACCAACTATTAGTGAGTCAATCTCGCATTGATGAAATTGTCAATTGGTGTGCCGGCATTAGTGCCATTACCAAAAAAGCAGACCGCCCGCGACTAGAACAGGAATTCAATGGTTGCATTGTGTTTGACGAAGCTCACAAGGCCAAAAACCTAAATCAAGATACAAGGACGGCCAAATTGGTCATTCGACTCCAACGACGATTGCCCAATGCCCGAGTCGTTTATTGCAGTGCCACGGGGGTGAGCGATGTTGGTCACATGGTGTATGCCGAACGATTGGGATTGTGGAAGACCCATGCCAGTCAAGCCAACTTTTCCCTCTTTGAATCCTTTTCGAGTTTTCAAAAGACACTGGAACAACGAGGTCTTGGTAGTCTCGAGATGCTTGCGCTAGAAATGAAACAAGTTGGCTGCTTCATGGCCCGAACACTCTCCTGGGATGGCGCTGAATTTGAAACCTTTCGAATATCCTTGGATCCCGAACAACAAAGGGTCTATGATCTCTGTGTGAATTGGTGGATTGATGTCAAGAGAGAACTCCAAGAAATTTGCGATTCGCCCCACATGCGAGCAAATCCACCTGGTCGGACCTTGTGGGGGACCTTTTGGTCGGCTCATCAACGATTCTTCAAGGAGTTGACCATTTGCTGCAAGATTCCACAATTGGCAAAGGATGCCAAAAAGATGGTGGCCCAGGGAAATTGTGTCATTTTTGGACTGCAAACCACGGGGGACGCGAGTATGCAAAACATTTTGGCAAATGGGGGCCATTTGCAAGAGTTTTCCACTCTTATTTCGAGTGCGCAAAATATCATGAGCAATTTTTTAATGTCTCATTTTCTAGTGGCACCACTGCCCATAGAAGCTCCAAACTTGCCAGAGGAACCAGGGGTAAATGCGTCCCAATACGATCGGGAACTCTACTTGTTGATGAAAGCACGAGCAGATGCCATTGTCAACATGCCTTCACCCGCCATTGTTCCCGAATTTGTGGCCAAACGGGATGCATTGCTAGCCAGAATTGATTCGATTCCACTCCCACCCAATCCATTGGATGACTTGATTGATCGACTGGGAGGAGTGGACCAAGTCAGTGAAATGACGGGACGACCCGGACGCATTGTGCGCAAATCCGGCAGCTTTTGCTATGCCAAGCGAGCTTCCGGTGATCCCAATGATCGCGTCAATCTAGTCGAGAAACGTGATTTTATGGACGGCAAGAAACCTTACGCCATTATCAGTGATGCCGCAAGTACAGGAATTAGTCTCCACGCGGCTCGGGGTAGCAAGGCGAGTCACAAGAGAAGGATTCACTATACCATTGAACTCCCATGGTCGGCAGACAAGGCGGTCCAACAACTAGGAAGAAGTCATCGAAGTGCCCAAGAGAGTGCGCCAAACTACAAATTGGTAGTGACGGATTTAGGTGGTGAAAGTCGATTTGCGGCCGCCGTGTCCAAGCGCATGGCCAGTTTGGGAGCCTTGACTAAGGGAGATCGCCGTGCAGCGACTGGATCAGATATGCTGTCGGACTTTGATTTGGATAGTCGCTATGGACAAAAGGCCATGAAACGATTCTATCGGGCATTGTCCATAGCCAAAGAGAATCGAGGTGAGAACAATCCCGAGACCGCCATTTATCCTTCTCGAAGTTCGCAAGAAATCTTGGACAAGTTTGCGGTCGATGGAATCAAAGCCAAGAACACGGTTGCATTGGGATTACCAGAAGTTCCCATCACCAGACGTTTGGCCATTCTGTCGCTCGTTTGTCAAGACTTGGAAGATGTCGGTATTTCCATGACCAACAAGACTGGCGATGTCAAGACTTTTTTGAATAGGATCTTTGGGTTGCCAGTACTTCGGCAAAACCTAATATTCTCCTTGTTCATGTCGACATTGGAAGATGTCATTGGTGAGGCCAAATTGACGGGAGAGTTTGAGGGAAGCGCAGAAGATATTAAGGCAACCACCATTGAGATTGCTGAAGAACGAGTTGTGGCGACTGATCCATCTTGTGGTGCCGAGACCAAGCTAATCACGTTAATTCTCGATCGAGGCATCTCCTTTGCCATGGTCTGTGAAATGGCAAAGGAAGAGGCTATGAAGATTGAGCATCCGATTGAGGCTATAGATGAGGAGAAGGCACAAGAAGATCATGTGGATGAAGCGGACGAGGGAAACAGTGATGATGACGATGATGAAGACGAATGGTTATCGACAAGAATAGAAGATGACAGAATATGCGAAGCTGGATTCTATTTTTCAAAGAAGAAGATTGCCGGAAGGCATCTTGTGATGTTTGCTAAACCGAAATTTCCAACCACATCCTTCAAAAGTGAAGCCGAAGCCAGGGACACGGATCCGTTGGGATTGATGATTATCACAAGGCCCAACACTGGAACCAATCCATGTGAAATGAAGACTCGTGACTTGCGTCAAAAGTATCACCTCGTATTGGGTTGCGAAGCACTCCGAAAAGAACTAGACAAGCAAGATGCTGCAGAACAAGCACAAACTGAGAATGCACCGAATTCGCTAACTGATGTAGTAAAGCAAGCCAATCGGAATGTTGGTTTCCAATGGGAATTGGCATTCGATGATTCCAATCATTTTGAACACAAGAATGGATTGGCTCCAAGACGTTCGGAGCTAGGGCTTGTCACTGGTGCCGTGCTGCATGTGCTCCGCACGCTCGAAAAAGTTGTCATCTTCAAAGGTAAAAGCGAAAAGACGCTAAAGGTAATGAGAGCTGAGGTAGAAACATCTCCAAAGTCTACCCATCGATTGGTAGGGGTTTGCTTTCCTCTTGATGATGAATCCATGAAACGATTGGATACCGAGATGGACGACCTCCGGAAGAAACATCTTGCGATAGGCAAGGTTTTTCACGATGAAGCGATTGGTAAAGTCTGCCAAAAGAGCAAGGAATGGGCAACAACCGAGCCAAAGACGATGAGGAGCTTCTTTCAAGTGGTACCCAAACGTCCCGCTGGCTCCTTAGCGAACGTTCCGATTAAGCTGCCAGCTCCCAGTGGCAAAGGAAAGCGATCTCCCGAGCAGAGATTGAAACCCGTCGTGCCAAAGAAGAAACCCAAGGCTATCACAGCTTTCTTCTCCAAAAAGTAGAATCATGGATTGGGAGATAGCATCAATACTGGTCCTGTGCTCCTCTTGAAGCTTTTTTCACGCGACTAGTCTACGTTCTTATCGGCTGATGCTCGTTGACAGGATTCCAAGAATTGCGAAGTCCCCTTCTCAAAGCCCCGATACCACTTCCACGGCCATGCTTTTGGAGGAGGTTCCTTCCCGTACAGATAATTCCATTCAAACAGCCTCCCAGCCAGTCTAGCAAAGGAAGTCTTGTAATATTGAAACCCGACCGTCTTTGGATGCTTGCGTGGAGCACGGCGAAGGTCTCCCGCGGTCCAGTTCCCAGCAATAAATTCTTCGGCTAGAACATCATCGGATGGAATGTTGTCACAGGGTCGTACATGAGGATGCGAAAAGGCCCATCGCTCCATGGCAAACCGACCAAGCCCAAGATGATTGGGGGATTGATCAATTGGCCGAAGACAAAGATATGCTTCTTCGTACTGTTTGGTGCTATGATTCAATGTCGTATCGTACATTGTCTGCAGCAAATTTGGATACTCCATGGGAGACTTGAGACGTGATATGTAGGAACTACGGTGATTCATGGATGAGACAATGAGAAGGAAGCAAGACGAGTGCATGTACCATGAACACATTTCAACTATATGCACCTTTGTTTAGAACGTACCATCTTGCGGTCCACATACTTTAATCCAAGCCATGATCGAGGGTGTTGAGGATGTTCCGATAGAAAATTGGTGAGAGAGTAGATTCCAAAAACTCTACAGTTGTTTGCGGTTCTTACTTTGCACTTCCGTGATATTGTGGAATCATCTGGAATAAACTAGTACAAATGTTGCACATTCGAGGTTTTGCTTTCATTTGCTGCCGACAGGACAGAGCGCATCGAGTCCCTCTCTTTCGGGCTCCTTCATTGGATAGTGACGCATGAAAGGATCCCTTGTCATGAATATACGTCACCAATGTATCGTCTTCGTTGGTCGAGGCGGTCGTTTCCAACGAGCAGTACTCCCACAATGCCTGGAGGGTATCCTCTTCATTCCCTTTTGAAAGCCTGGCTCGTTCGGTACAAGTCATTGGAGCTGTGCAATTGCTACGAAACAAGCGATCGATCGCATTCGCATGCTTGTCGGCAATCAAGGTGTAGAGCAGAGAAGCATTTGGATCTAGCGATCTGTATTCCTCCAATTGTTCACTGATTATATTTTTCGTTTTTCGCAAATGTGTATCAGGGACAAAGACGTTGTAGAAAATCGGACCTGAACTCAGCCGGATGATTGGTTTTGATTTCGTTAACGACTGAGGTGGTAGTTCCTGTGTTTTGGCAAATCCATCCATTGTAGCTGCCACCTGACTTATGGAAGTTCCAGTATCTGGTCGACTGGACTGCACAAAGGAAGCAATGTGTTTATTCTTGGTTGTTGCCTCGAATATTTCTTCCACAGACGAAGCCAACTTGGAATAGCGATGCCAATTCCACAAGAGAACACCAATACCAAGCGAAAAGAAGATAACGACAAAGACAACAGATGATCGTATACGACTTCGTTTTCTATGTGAATGGCTTGTCATTCTGTGTCTTTGTTTTCTATGAGGTGAACATCATATCATTGCCTATCGGGTTTCCTAAAAGTCACCGCACTCAAAAATATGCTGTAGTTTCAGGTTTGCCAATTTCAAAAGTAGATTGAGCCTTTGGAAGTACCTCGCTCAGGTGCTGAAATCTGAAAAATCATCTTCATACTTCCATCAAAATCAGAACATGACTACTTCTGAACTGTTGGAAAAAGAGTACGCGTCCACCTGGCAATGGCGCATCGACACGGATCCCGAGTTGGCAGCTGCCATGGGAATGCTAAACCGGAGAAGATCAACCCATGCCATTGATCCCCGATCCCTCTCCAGCTATCAACAACGTCTCGATTGGGTCAAGCGAGCTCTGTTGAGAGTCGAATCGATCTCTACAGAGGGCCTTACCAAATCTGAGCTCTTGACACGAAGGCTGTACATTGAGCAACTATCAGACTATGCCAAGTACTCTGAAAAACACGAGGCCTATTTGTGTTGCATTAATCGGCTGGAAGGACCGCAAACAGATCTACCTCTATATGCTCAGTATCTTCCCATTAAGACGCAGACACAGAGAGAGTTCTACATGTCATTTTTATCGGCCATTCCTCAACAATTAGGTGAAATTCAAGAACTTTTGAAATACGGGTTGGAGAAGAAACGCACGCCTCCCCAGATCAGTCTTGGTGGAGTTGTGGAGCAAATTCGGTCGATGACTACGGCTGGATTGCAACCTTTCAAGCAGCCACTAATGGTGAAGGATGACAAAGGGAATGATTTGTTTGAACCCGACATGAAGAAATCATGTTTAGAGTTGATTGATGGTGGAGCCACTGATGCTTTCACATCCTTGGCTGATTTTCTGGAAGGAGAATACATTCCAAATCTGCGGACAGAGATCAGCGCTGCCAAGGGTTATCCCGACGGGGAGCAATACTACATAGACTGTCTGAACTTCCACACAACCACTGGCATGACACCCCAAGAAGTCCATGACCTGGGTTTGCAAGAAGTAGCTAGAGTTCGCTCTGGAATGGAAACGGTCAAGAAGGAGGACGGCTTTGAAAATCTCCAACTAGAAGAATACTTAACGTATCTACGAACGTCACCTATTTTCGAACCTGCATCAGCCGAAAGCTTGTTGGCAAGCTACCGAGATATTGTGGGTCAGCTGTATCCCAAGCTGCTACGACTCTTCCATCTGGATACATTGCCTCGACAGCCTCTTGATGTTACAGAGTCACCTGCTGCTTCTGCACACATGGCCCCAGCGGCATACTATCTGGCTGGCTCCACCGATTCGAAGGCTCCTCGGCCAGGTGTATTCTATGTCAATACATCCGAGTTATCCACTCGTCGGACGTATGAAAGCCAAGCCCTTACTTTGCACGAGGGAATCCCAGGACATCATTTGCAAGGTGCTATCCAGGGTGAGTCCACGGGTATGCCAGAGTTTCTACGCTTTGTAGAGGACAGGCAGTACTTTTCTGCCCCAGCTCGCTTTCCTTTTTACACGGGATACATTGAAGGTTGGGGACTTCATTCTGGTAAGAAAACGTTTTTTGAGATTAGAGCATGGCCGTTCTAGAATGGAAGATGTTAGCCCTAACATATTTTGCCGTAAATCTTACAATCGCAGAGACCCTAGGGCACGAACTTGGACTGTACAAGAAACCAACCGATAAATTTGGACAGTTATCCATGGAAGCTATTCGATCATGTCGTTTGGTTGTAGACACAGGGATGCATGCACTAGGATGGAGCCAAGAACAAGCAGTCCAATACATGCTCCAAAATACCGCAATGGGAGAGCATGATGCACGTACTGAAGTTGCCCGCTATGTGACTTGGCCTGGACAGGCAACAGCCTATAAAGTTGGGGAACGATTCATTCGAAGAATGCGAACTATGGCCGAAACTGAGTTGCTGGACGCCTTTGATCCAAGAGATTTTTACGATGTTGTCCTAAAGTGCGGAGCTGTTCCACTGTTTGTGCTGGAAGATTTGGTGAAGGAATATATCCTCGAAACCTCAAAGACTGGCAACGTACGGGAGACGACGAGTCCTGCTGGATCAACCGAGAAGCAAACAGTAGATGACTTTGCTGCGACTATGACCTTTGCCAACTGGTGCAAGTGTTGCATCGTGCCGGGATCTTGCCAGCCCTAGGCCTTGGTACCTGGTACACCGGTACCGGAACTTTTAGAATTGCAATGGCGTTACACGTACTCTGTTAGCCCTGATTTGAATTTTCTAAATATTTAAAATTTTCGGCGAGCGCGGCCAGCCTTCATTCCGTTGAAGATTTTTGGTCGCACACAGTAACAAAGATCGACAAAAACTTTTATGATACATTCTGATACCGGTACATACTGACCATTGTTGATGTCGAGGATCGATTGATTGAAAGCTTCCAACTGTTTGATTCCTCTCAATCCACTACCATCACTATTACTACCAAACATCATGAGTCAACCTTTATATCGCAACGGCAAAAACAGGAGTAGCACACCCAACTACGGCTCGGTTTCTGGGAAAAAGTCAAGTCTTTCCAGTTCCATTGAAGAAGGGCAGCCACTGATTGCCCATTCCCCTTCGTCCGATGCTTCCAGTGAGAATCTCCCATATCCAAAGGCTACGGATGAGCAACGGGAACTCTTGCTGCTGATTGAAAGTGAAATAAAATTTGCTCGACAATCCAAATTTCACATTGTTTTGCCTAGGTTGACTGAAAAGAGAGTCCAGAAACTGAGAACCAAGATCAATCGTGTTAATACAACTTTCACTTTGGATACCACTGGGTGTGATGGCTTTGTCTTTAGCTTTCTGCGGAGCACCCTTTTCTATCTTTTTCTGACGCTTCTGGTGACAATTATCGTGCTGATTGGCATTGACAAATGGAATTTTGGACTGTTCAATACGGATGATGCTTTCAAAACTTTTATACAGGAAGGCTTTCCATTCGTGACTGTCATGTTTAGCGTCATTGCTTGTGTGGGCCCAACGATGCACCGATTGACACCCTTTTCACAAGAAGTCGGATCCTATGCAAGTCCTTCCTCACTCAAGGAAGCAGCAAAGGAAGGCATCGAGGATATGGTCGTCATGATATCCTCTAGAGTGGACAATGTCAATGCCAAGCTCACTAGTGTCCTGGACCATATGAGACACGTCTCGGATCGGGCCTATCGATTTCAGTACAAAATACGCCTAGTGGATCCTGAGGTACTGGACCGACATGACGTTTTGAACAATCCATATCTCGATGCAGAGCGCGAGATTCAAAATGCCAAAGAAGAAATCCATGCCAAGATGCTGACATTTGAACAAGACATCAGTTTCGATGTTGCATCATGGATACCATCCTATCTATCTTCGCCGAGGAAGTTTTTCAAGGTGGACATGTTTGGTCACATGGTGTTGTTGCTTTTGCTTCATTTGGTAGGCATCCTATCTGCGATCGCCATCGTGGAAAGCCGAGTGTCAATGGATATCCAAGTTCAGTTTCTTTCCACGATGATGTCCTACCTCGCAATGATACCATACTTTGAAGAGCTAAGCCAACGTTTGACGCCATTTATCATTTGTTGGATCTCTGCTCTCTTGTTGGAGTCCTACTTGATCTCGAGCTTCTTTTTGACGAACATCTATTTTTCCAAATCATCTTGTTCAAGGACGGTTTCCGTCATAAACGATTTACGGTCTGTGATTACATCTCACACCAACTGGTTGTTGATGCAAAATGGAGTCATATTTTTGTCTCACGACATTTTGGAAGTCCGAATGAATCAGCTTCGTCTCAAGGTGATTGAGTTGGTGGAGCAGAATCATAATCTTTGCTCCGCTTTGAGCTTGGCCGATATTGATGATTCTTCGATGTCAGGCGAAGAAGGAGACGACAAGGTTCTCACAAATTTCCCCTTCCAATCGCCGACGGCGGCGGCAAGCGTGTACAGTCACATTTCCAAGAAAAACAGCATGACGCCTGGAAGTGTCGTAAGCTATCAACCGTCCATTGATCCTCCAGAAGATAAGCCGACTTCATCGACGCGTCCCCCAGCATCCGATAGTCCACCGCAATCGGAGCCTGTAGAGTGATCCAGACACTTTCCCTAATGTTTGACGAGTTATCGTATGTAGTATGAGAGTGTAGACTATTATAAAACTTTACATTTAAAATCAAAACTCAGGTTCCCACATACAATGAAATGTCTAAAAAATAATGCAGTAGCTGCAACCCACCAACATTGTGCAAAAGGATAGGTTGCCTAAGTACCAGATATCATTGGGTTGTAAGCGTGATTTTCTTCATTCAATTTTCCCTTTTGTCTGCTGTTCTGCCGTGGACGAGAAGGAGGGACTGCCACCTCCAATTTCTCGAGTGCTGCCAAAGCTCGAACAACCTTGACGGTCGACTCCTGCCAGAGTGCATGCATTGGATCCGAACGTGTTGCGTCTCCAATTGCATTCCCATATACTTCCCGCACATACAGCTCCGATTGTGACATTAATGCCAGCCGCTCCATTGCTTTTGCCATTCCCATTCCTCGATTGCGGCTGTGGCCTTGTGCTAGGATCATCGCAAGACTGTTGCGTACTTTTGCGTTCAGCTCTGGCGATCCACAGACATAGAGCCTTGTTCTAGAATTGTGCAGCAAGTCAAGCAGTGTAGCCCGCTCTTGCCGAAGAAGATCTTCCAGTTCCATCTTCCTACCACTGCTGTGACTGTAGGCGACGAACGGATGAAGCAAACCCTTCTTCCTCAATAGTTCAATCTCAGTGGAATATGGTAGTTCTTCTGGACTCTTGCACCCACAGAACAAATAGGTTGGATTCGTTCTTCCTGCCAACCAGAATGTCCGACAAGGTGCGATGCCTGGACCTGCCGAAATGAGCAGAACAGGTGCGCCTTCGTCATCTGGAAGTCGAAATTTTGTCCTGGAGAAAGTGGCATCTATTTGCTGCCCTTTTGTTAACGATCTCAACCATCTGGAAGCGACACCAGCCTTTCCACTCCCTTCGAAGGTATAGACTGACTGCACAATACTGACAGTATTTTTCGTTCCATCAATTGAAGCAATGGAATAGAATCTTGGATCCATGGAAGGTACGTATTTCAATATCCAATTCATTGGAATCGAACCTGGAGGCATGATCTGGACAAGCTTTTCAACAGACAAAGAGCTGTCGGCAGAAATAGTGGTCAAGAGTTCATCGAGAACACTCATAGCACTTTCGTTGCCCTGAATATAGTCGTTGAGAAAAGATAGCTCATCTAAGCTCAATGGTTTCGACAGATCCTTGAATTTCTTGAGATACTTTTTCGCCGCAGCGGCATCGGGTACACTAACATGTCGCATAACAGTTTCGACAACATCATCCATGTTGTGTGGGTACAATACCACATGGTCTCCAGCGGCTAGTCCTTGTAGTCGATTCTCGCCCTCTTCCTCCTCTAACTTGAACCGAAAGAGATCGAGCGATCTTTTGAGTTTATTGGAATTGCGCTCCCAAGAGTCTAGATACTTTCCTCCTCCAACTGCACCCGGATCATCAACTGAATCCAGCTTCAACACGGGCACGAGTTTCTCAAACGCCATTGTCGTCAATTGAACTTCCATTGGCTTTGTCGGCTCTACCGTGGGGTTTCTCTTGTAGAGAATACCTTCAACTTCTTCGAACAACATCGTTCGGAAATCAGCGAACGCTTCTTCTGGAGCCTCGAGAGTATCAACATAGTGGATACCCATTGCAGGTACACATCCTGCTCTCTTCAAATTGGCTTCCACAACCGAGGCAAACGATGCTAAACTTCCAGTGTATGCCGAATTGCAAAGACCGCATATAGCAAAATCAATGTTGTGGAGAGATCCTTTCGCCAGTTGACTCATTCCACCCAAGAAACTTTTGGCATGGAGCGGTGGCGCACCAGAACTTGCGGTTGAAGTTACGATAATTGCAAGAGATTTTTTCTCAACAGACTCCAGCAGCAGATCTGGTAGGCTGTCTAATGGGATGGGCCCAGTTGCACTGCCTCCAAAGTCGCCAACCAGAAGGGTTGCCAATCGTAAACTTGTCCCTGTCTCGGAAGCGTAGTACACAAACACATGGTCGTAATGACAATTCGCTCTGTTGAACACAAAGTTATTGCCTCGTTTTCTTGGCGCAATACTGATAGGTAGAGGCATTGCGAGATCCAGGTCATCCCAGAGAGGCTTTTGAATCAAATATTGAGGTTTCACAACGAAGTCTGCCATTTCTTGATGATATGCTGCTGTCATACTAGATGTGGCCGGAGCAACTACCTTGATCCAATCGGCTGAAGAAGAGGTTATCGTTAGTACCATTGAATCAATTATCACTGACTTGGAATGACAGCTGATGCTTACCTGGACAACTTCCAAAGTCTTGTACCTGGGAAGAATGAAATTCAACAAACTCCTCGCTAACTGCATGATAGTCGAGACAACGCAATCCATCCCTCGCAAAGCTGTTCAAAATAGACTTTTGTGTTTGTAGTTGAACATTGTCCCTCCACAATGAAAGGGGGGACTTTTTTAGAGCACAAGCTGCGGCAATCGCTTCAGCGAAGCCATACCGACTTCGATCAAGCAGAAAACTTGAGATTTCAGAAGCTTGATACAGCCTTGTGAAAGGAGCAGTTTGGTAGAGCAAACCTGCATTGCGGAAAATCCAATTGTTAGAGTTGCGAGATAGATCCATCACTTTTTATTTTCGGGCTTCCACGCGTCTTACCTCCAATATCGATCGCCATGCTTGCATCAGAAGCCTGAGCGTGCCAACGAAGGTTCAAATTCCTGAACAAGTCGAAATCTGGGTGATCAAATTCAACTTCATGTATGGCCTCTGGTGGTAGTACGAATACCTTTGGATTATCATGCCCTCGCGCTGCATCAGAGATAAGTAATGGTAGAATATCAAAATCGGATTTCTCTTCTGGAGGAATCCAACCAAATTTCATACAGAGGACAGTGAAGTCGAGATTGGAGGAGTCTCCCATTATGCTTCCATCGTCTCTCTTGTATGCGGCATATCCAAGAAGATCTCGATTCCAAATGCGAACTGGAGCAAACTCGTTATCCTGTTTTGGTTGAAATACCGAAATGACAGGGGATTCAGATCCGCCATCGAAAACTTCTTTCAGATGCTTCACGCACTGATTGAAACAGTCGTCCGCAGTTTTGGCTTGGCGACAATCGTTCACTGTTAATGATGCATACGCGCTACGCATTATGAATTGTCCACAATTTCTCCATGCGAGGCGACAACCATATTGCAGCTCGTCGTAAGTTTGAGTATACGAACCAGCTTCGACGATGCTTCTCTTGATTTCTTCCAGTCTCTCCTCGAGACGTTTCCCATGCAACAATCCGGTTTCTTGAGCGAATCGTTGAATGAAATAGGTTGCTTCCTCGCACGCTAGACTGACGTCACTAGTTTCCGTAGCTGATGCTTGACTTTCAGGATATCCCATGAACTGACCTGGGCCTTCAAGGTCGGACAAAGCGGGGGTGTTCTTCTGTCCATTTCCGAGTGGCTTCGAACTGTTGGTTTGTGAGAAATCGTCTTTCTTTTTATCGATTTGATTGCTCAAAGAGCGTACCTGACTTCTGGCCGAGTCGTTGCTGAGACGCATAATCTCCTTATTTCGTTGCTCTGAAATCTGAACAAGTTCTTGGAACTTGTCTTCCTGTTGCTGCGCAAACTCAGCAAACCACGGCGGCATCTCTGTTGCATCCTCTGGTGAAATGGCTGATATCATGGCGGAGACTTTCTCTTCATTACGTTTGCGCATACGATCAAGATTTTGCATTGTAGACACCTTATCTTCATTTCTTTTCTTGAGATCCTCAAGATTTTTGAGCATACTCTCAAACTTACGAGGATGGGAACTCTTTTCTTCCTCGGTTGTCGCCTCCGCCGTTGTCTCTGTTGTTGGTACCTTGTCAACTTTTCCACCAACGGAATTTCTCTTCTCAATTCTTCCTTGAATTTCAGATTGGAAGCTCAGTAATTTCTTCTTCATTTCCTCGCGAGAGGCATCTTGCGCCTCGTTGCTAGTTGCAGCATCAGCTTTAGTTTCGGGCTCATTTTTACCATCCGCACCACCGCGTTTCGAAGAATGTTCCGATACCTTAGTCAGATATTCGCCCTCGGTAACCTCCATGCTTGCGCCGTCTGTTGATGCATCAAAATTCTCCAATTTGGTAGTCTTTTTCACAGGCTGAAGCTTCGGTGAATCCAGTGAAACTTCCGTCGACTGACTCGTGTTCAATTTCCCTTGAATGTCAGCTTGAAATTTTTGCAAGCTTGCAAGCATCACATTGCGTGGAATAGTTGCTTGTTCTTCTTCTAGAGCCTTGATACGCCCTTCCCGACCTTTTGCCCTTCGAATGTTGTTGGTCTCTCCGATTGCATCCTTTGCTTTCAGATCAGCAGCAGCAGCAGCTTTTGGTTTCGTCTCTTTCTTGGCACCATCGCTGGGTACCTTCTTTTCGATGCTCGACCGAAATGCCAAAAGACTGGCAGTCAACTGATCGCGAGTCAAGCTTCCGTTTTCCGTCTCGAGTTGAACTATGCGGCTCTTCGCCTGCTGCAATGGTACTGCTGCTGCTTCTGGTAGTCGAAATTCGCTCGAAACAATGGAAGTTTTGTTGGCAGTTTCGGGTTCTGGTGCTTCAAATTCGCACGAAACAAATGCTGGGTTCTTGGAAGTTTTCGGCTTGGCACGAGGTGCTGGCTTTTTGGTTTTCAATTGAGTCTGGAAGGAAAGAAGACTGGCCTTGATCTCGTCTCTTGACATTTGGGTGTTTTGTTGCTTGATTTGCGTAGCTCGATCACTCGACGACCAGTCATTGCGATCACTCGACGACCAGTCCTTTGATTTGGTTTTGTCTTGGCTCGACCTGTTTGTCAATGGATTGTGTTTGCCAGCAGCCGTGGGTGTGTCGACTTGAGGTGAGCTGTCTTCACTCGACGGTGGAGCCACTTCCGAGTGTAGAACATTGACCACCAAAGGGCCGTGCCCTGGTTTGTCTTCCACAGGTCCTTCTTCATGATCATCTTCTTCCAAAATGAAGCGTTCGACGTTGCTGCCCACGCGAGCTTCCATTTTAGATTCAAACCATTTTCGAAAGTTTCGATCTTCAATTTCTCTGGAGCTCAATTCCGCCCCTACAAGGCCTTGACCTTCGGCACTTTTGGAGGCCTGTAGCTTTCGCTTCGAGTCTGACTTCGGCATTTCCAGCATACTACCTCTCCTTATACTTCGTTTTACTGCTGGTGGTGGTGAAACATGCTCCACCTCCACGGACTTGTGTCTGCTGGGTCTGCCACCAGTGGGTGCTTTTTGCCGGATCCTGGCACCAGTGGTAGCAGTTGCAGTTGCAGCTGGCACTGCTCCACCCTTGTGGAGTTTCTGGTCAATTTGTGACTGAAACGCCCTAAGACTCGAGATCAAATCATCCTTGGGGGTTTCCACATTTTGGCGCTGCAACTCGGACGCTCGATCTTTTTTGGATGGAATGAGTTGTGGAGTGGGACCGAGATTTGCTGCTGATGGCAACAAGGACTTTGCCGATACTGGCTTGGCAGCAGCAGCATCTTCTTCTTCTTCATTATCACTCGTACTGTTGCTGGAAGTCGCGTCTTGATTTGATACCAAGGTCATGTCGCGCTTGGACAAGCTCCGATGGAACTTTTTCAAGTCTTCCAGAGTATCTTTTCGATTGGACGGTGATTCGGCTTCTTTGAGCGGCTCTTCATAAATTGAGGAGCTGTCGCTGTGATCATCGTCATTATCATCTTCATCTCTGAGGCTCTCGCTGTGATCCTCATCATGCATGATATCTTCTTCTTCGTGCAAGGGTTCGAGACCTTCGTCGGATGCGTCATCGTCATGCTGTTCGATTACACAAGAAGGACTTGCTTGCTGAGGTTCTTGATTAGCAGTCGACACAATGACTGGACTCTTTTCACTGCCTGTGGCTTCCGCCTCGGCTGCTTCCGCTCGTGACCGAAATGTCTTTGGTAGAAACTCGCTGAGACTCTCCCCCAAGTCGGAAGCCCCACTAGATTCCGTATCTGCTCCTGAGGATTGATAACTTCTATACGAGGCACCGATTGTATCCTTGGGTTCGTCGGAAAGCTTTGCCGTGTAACTCGCATAATATGTTGGTGGTTCGTCGACACTAGCAGTTTTTCCTGATTTGGTGGTTCGCAATTTAGTATTCATTTTCGCTTGAAAGGCTTGAAGATTTTGCGTCAACTCCCCACGCTGCTGTGGTCGAGCCTCCTTCTTATTGGATGATAATGATGATGAAATTAATTTACCTTGAGTTGATGATGCGTCTTCCTTCTTCGTTGTCTTCTTTCCCTTATTGTTCATATCCGAGGAAAACTGCAGAAAGCTCTTTTTGAGATCGGCCAAAGGCATGTCCACAGCTTTGTCGTTTTTGGTTGGCATGATGGCTGTTCTTGATGTTCTTGTTGCTGGTGTCGTTGTTGTTACTTCTTGTAAGGCTGATCGTAAAAGGTGATGTATTTCTCTTCTCTTTTTGTGTTGCTGATAGGTCTTCTGTTCGAGCTGTAAGCGATAGTATGTTACCTTGCAGGCATAAAGAAGCAGGGATCGGGTTGATGGTTGATGGGAAGAAGGATCGTGTGTTCCATTTTCGCCCACTTCGTTGCACTTCTCATCTCGCGGACGTGCAAATAGTCATTTCTTTGGTTTTGAGCTTCCGTCTTCGGGTTCTACAGGATAATGATACTTCTTTGAGATCGCGAATCGCCAGTTTATTAATTCTAAAACCTTTCTTGTGTTCGTAATGACTTTTGATATGCCCAACATAAGTATATCGAAACAAAGAATTATCTCATGGTTACGCTCAATTAACATCCATTCCATTTCTATAAGCCCGCTGAATGTTCTCTGTCGCCAGCCGGATGTGGGATCGATGAGGAGAATGCCGTTGGAGCAAGAGGAGTTGAGTGGTGTGTTCGGAACGAAACGCTACTACACGTTACATAAAACCGTATGCAGTTTGTGAGCACGGTACTTGGACTGTGTCCTTCATCGTCTAAACATTGCATTCGTAATGACTTTTGATACGCCCAACATAAGTATATGTCTAGACCTTAGAATAATCTCATGGTGGCTCTCGTATAAAAGGCATTCGGCTTCGTTAAGTCCCTTCATAGTTCTCCATCGCCAGCCGGTTGTGGGATCCGTTGGCAGTGGTGCGTCCCATAGTTAGGGTCAATGTTACGAGGAGTCGAGTCCGCTACTACAGTACCGGAAGAGCGTGAGTAGCGTCGACAAAGAAAGTGGAACATTGTGTCCTTCCAGCAGAAGCCCATCCCTGAAAAATAAACACCGTCCAACTATATTGGATACATTAGGCAAACTCCTATTACGCACCTACTATAACGAAGCGTGAAACTACTAGTAGCGTTTGATTTGATTCGAAGGACAAGAAGTAACAAAAAGGAAGAGAAAGACAATAGTTCAATCCTATCAATCATCATGTCCTCCACCAACCTACCAGCCTCGTCCCAGGCCATGTTGGACAACCTGGAACGTATGAAAAAGCGGAATCAAGAACGCTTGGCAGAGATTGTACGGTCCTTTAGTGAAACCAGCAATAGTGAATCCAATGCTAGTGCCACCAACACTGCTAGTTTCAACCAGATGATCAGTGGAGGAAGTGGAAGAAGCGGAGGCAGCGGAGGCAGCGGAGGAAAGGCTTCCATTCAAACTACTACCACGAGTGCCACGGAGAATACCGACTTTTTGGAAGATGACGATGACGACGAAAACGACTTGCAAGATAATGCGTCCCAAAGCTCATCGTCTTCTTCCAGTTCCTTGATGAATCCTTATTTTGGAAACCCTGCGGCTGGAGTACCGGCTTGGTTTTCCAGTTACATGGCTCAGCAAGAAGCCCGACAACAACTAGTAAAGAACAAACTACATGCGCAAAAGGAAGAGATTGATCGATTGAACAACAATCATAATGAAAATGATACTGGGGAGAGCTCAGTGGTAGTGCAAACACTGTGTCCACTGCCACAAGTCACTCCCACGATATCGCCATTTTCAAAAATGGGAGAAGAAGAGAAAAAGGAACAAGGTGATAGTCTCGATGACAACAGCATATTGGTAGACGACGCACAAGATCCACGCAACGAATCGCCCTTGAAGCTGCAACCCATGGTCGTAACAGAGGAAGCAGAGGATGATGAAATCAATCAGTCTTACTTGACATCGCCGCCTTCCACAAAGGATGTAGTGGCCACGCTCTCGGGTCTGAGTTCGGAAATGAGCCATAGTTACGACTCGGAAGAGCGCCGCAAACGACGACACCAAAACATTCGCAATGTCTTTCGGGCTGATACAACGAAATCGCCTTTTGTGCGAAACGCGGACGAAATCAACACCTTGATAAAGTTATCCGACGCCAAGCAATTTCTAGAGCAATTTGCTGCAATCAAGGGGGAGAAAAGGGTGGATATTGATAATGGTGGTGAACAGCAGCAGGAGGACCCAGACGAGCAGGTACAACTACAAAAATCCCAATCACAACAGCAATCGCAAGAAGATCGCCTGGAACAAGTACAACGGGACATTGAAAGAACGGGGACCTATGAACATACACCCCAAGAGCTAGAATTTGGTTGTCAATTGGCCTGGAAGAATGCTGCGAGATGCAATGCCCGGCAATACATGGACAAATTGGTGATACGAGATTCGCGATATGTCTCTTCGGCCAAGGATTGCTTTGAGGATTTGGTAAAACATATCAAGACATCTTTTAATGACGGAGCGATACGACCAGTCATGACCTTGTATAGACCGAAGCAAGATGGACAATCGGCGCCAGTACGAGTTTGGAACCGACAGCTGTTGGGGTATGCTGCCTACGAACTCGTGGATGGGAAGATTATGGGGGATCCCATCAATTTGCAATTTACGGCTTTGTGTCAAGAATTTGGATGGACGCCACCCAAGATCAAGACCGATTTTGATATTCTTCCATTGCTGATATCGGATGCATCTACTGGGCATGCCAAACCGCAAGTCTTTGAAATACCATCCGAAGAGATTCCGGAAGTACGCATCACACACCCGGAATTTGATCTCTTTGAATTGCTGGGGTTGAGATGTTACTCAATGCCTTGTGTTTCCAACATGGGTGTTGAAATTGGGGGAGTGCATTATCAGACAGCTTGCTTCAGTCGATGGTACCAAGTTACGGAAATTGGACGCCAGTTTTTGGATACTGATCGGTACAATTTAGCCGAATCCGTGGCGGTTGCCTGCAACATTCCACGACCATTCGACAATGGTCTTTGGAAAGATACTGCCCAAATGGAGCTACACAAGGCAATTTTATACAGTTTTGAGGAACAATTGATCCCATGCGTCGATCATTACAAGGCCAGTCAAAGTTTTGTCCATTATTATGACCTAGAAATGAAAGAGCACGGAAAGTGTCCAGCCGACAAGGCATCGCTAATGCCTCCCGCTGGAGGAAGCATGACGGCCGTCTACCATAAGAAAGACATGGCAAATCACGTTGAGAAGCCACAGTTTCGTAGACAGTTGAGCATTTGGGATGATCTTCGTATTGGACTTCCAGAGCCTATCGTTGTCGAGTCTATTCGGGGATTGTCAAGGGCTTACCCAACCAATGCAGAAACGAATATGTACGATGAGGTTTTCATCTATCACGCATCTGAGTTCGGCAAAGCGCTCCGCATGGCAACCATGATTTCTTGTGAATTTGGAGAGAATGCAACTGGGCCTATTGCCTTGGATGATCTTCCTGATTTGCTTATTCAGCACTCGGATTATAGTGGAACAAATCGGAAACAGAGTAAGACTTTGGTGGTCATTGTAGCCTCGACCAATGGAATGGGGGATGCACCAGAATCAGCAAAGAGTTTTGTTGATCAAATGAAGATGGTGCAGGAGCATTCTGTGCGCGACGTTGAATTCTCGATTTTGGCACTGGGGAATTTTGCTTATCGACAGAGTTCTGCTGCGTTTGGCCACAAGGTTTATTCCTTGCTGGAGAAAGCAGGATGTTCCCCAGCCTTGAATATTCAAATCGCAGACGAGTTAAACGATCCTCAAGCTGCACTGGATTCCTTCACAAAACTGATAACGCAAGTTTGTACAGGGCAGGGGCAGTTGGGCATTGATTTAGGGGCAATATCAAGCCGGCCGCCAGCATTTGCAAGTATCAGTCTAGAGGCGCGTACAAAGATGCTAGAAACGAGTTCAACTTCGGAAAACAACCACAGGGATCCAGGAGTGTTGCATTACAGCAGCTCGTGGGCCAACAGGGCACACAAACTAAAACCGTCTATGGACATGTTCACGTTCAATGTTAATGAGGGGTATGAAAGTCTCCTGAACGAAGCCGTTCCTGGTGATCTTGTGGCGCTCTATCCATCAAATTTGAACGACGTTGTTGAGCTGGTTTTCCGGAATGTCAACCATTCCAAAAGATCAGTCGCAAGAGAATACCTAAAGTCCAACATTGACCTTTCCAGACCACTCAAGTCTGCTGACATTCAAGAGCTTCGAAAGCTAATGAGAAACACAGATGCCAGGGAGATCGTGGCAACGATTGCTAGCCAATCTTCGCAAGAGAACAATCCGTCCATAGAGCAGCTGGTTCAGATGCTCCCTCCAGGCTCGATTCCAATGGAGTGGGTTGTTCAATTTGGGCCTCCAATCGATCCTAGATTCTTCTCCATTGCGGAAGTGAACTTACTCGAAAACAGCGTGAGCTTTGCCCAATCTGTGTACACTTTTGAGTCAAACAAGAAAGCTGGACTAGCCTCGCGCTGGCTGCGATCGCTGCGCAAGGGCGAGATGACTAGTGCACTCTTTGTCACCAGCAGTTTCCATGCACCCGCAAATCGGGATTGTCCCTTATTGCTGTTTGCAGCAGATTCAGGAATTGCGTCTTTTCATTCGTTGTGGCAACCGAATTGCAGAAACCCGCTGTATCTCTTCTACGCCTGCAAGAATCCATCAGAGATTGCATTCCGATCGAACATCTCTGATCTGAAGGAGGAAGGACGTCTAAAGCCGTACATTGCCTACAGCCATGTGAAGAACGGTAGAATGGAGATAAATGAATTGATTCTGAGAGCCCGAGATGTGCTACTAAAGCGCATTCACATCAAGAAGGGAATAATCTACATTTCTGGGCCTCCAGGATTTGAAAGGACAGTACGCAATGCATTGGTAACGGTTCTTGCTGAAGGGAACGAGTACTTTCCTGGAATGGGGACGATGCGAGCTCTGGAGTATCTGGCTGTTATGTCGCAGACGAAGCGATTGTTCTTGCAGGTCTACGGGAAACCGGCTTTCACTGAAGATCCAACTTTGGTAATGTGGCAAGAGGCCGTAGCAAAAACAGTTAGGGCAATCACAAATCTCGAGCAGATTGGTCTGCTTCAGGGGCGAACCGACGACACTTTCGCTCTTGATTCAGATTTCATGGGTTCCTCGAAAATTCAAAGTGGCAAGCGTTATAATCCAAAGGTCGTGTTCACCGACTGCTAAAGAAAAAAAGAAAAAAGGGGGTTGGGGATATCTCGTTGCTTGTGGTCGAACGCAGTTTTAAAAGTAAAGAATTTGGATTTAACGCTTTCATGTTTTTTATAAGCATTCTCTGCCATGTGTGCTTACAAGTAACCCCATACTTCAGACAAACTCCATTCGTAAAGGTCTTCCTGTAAGTCGGCGTCATAACTGACAGTAGCCGATTTGGCCGGTCCACCAGGGACAAACCATCTCTGGTACCCCAAGATTACCATTCCAAGTGCCAACCCCATGACATCTCGAATGGGCAACAGATTGTAGCAGAATCCCGGGAACATTTCCAACCAGAACATACATTGAATGTTTGTGTTGGTATAGAAATCTTGCTTTCCGTCTTCTTCGTCGGTCGACAGAACAGCCCTAAGAATCGAATTCAATCCATACCCTTGAACTGGATAGGCAAGCTTTGTAAAGATGTTGGCGACAACGGCTGTTTGGCTTTTGGCAACAATTTCCGATCCCACCCACTGCGGACAAGCACTGACAACTCGCCAGTTTGGGTTTCGGCGAGCCAAGGCTCTAGCATGCAACAGCTGAGCCAGTTTGGAGTTGGCGTAGGCTCGGAATTCTTTGAAAGCCATAAAGCCCACATTCCCTCCCGGTTGGCTAGCAAGGGGAGGTTGGAGCTGTGCTTGAAGTCCTTTGTCGGAGACGGCGGCAGTTGTCAGTAGGTCAGTTCCAGGCACCCCAAAACTTGTGATGGATGTTACGTGAACCACTTTTGGATGGACGGATTCATTGAGCATGGGCTTGAGCTTCTCAGTAAACAAAAAGTGGGAAAGATAGTTTACTGCAAATCAGCAAGAGAAACGAACAAGAAGGATCCGATAAGCTTGCGACCATATATGTAGCTTTTTGCAGCGATGACTTACCACCGAATGTCCAATCATAGCCTTGTTTGGTAGTTGGGTAGTTCCAACTGGTTGGAGCATAGAGTCCAGCGTTGTTTATCAGGATATCAATCTTGGGTACGAAATCGATCATCTGTCGAGCGGCTGTTGCAACTGCATTTAGGTCAGTGAAATCAGCGACAAAGGCTTGTTGAAGAATCCCATCATCACGCAAACTCTGGAGCTTGTTCGGAGACCGGCCAATGCCAATGATAGTCGCTCCCAACTTGGTGCTCAATAGTTTGGATAGCTCTAGCCCAATGCCTGAGGTGCATCCAGTAATGACCACGACGACACCCTTGAGAGGCAACGAATCGACGCTTGGATCATCGCTCGACAAAATCTGCCCCAGCTGTTTGGCACGAGGAAGAATTTCATTTTCCCAGTCAAGCTCTGGTTGTGGAGCTGAAATGAGGATACCCATGCCAGCAGTCAAAACTATGAGAAATGAGGACCACGAAATCATGATTCTTCCAGTGACGTTGCAGTTGTTGGTTGCAAAAGATGCTGTAATTTGCTGTTTCTCTCCATCTGTTTTGGGATTTGATGATTTCCCGCGGGGTTATACGTTATATACATCATCATTCATTCATGTGTGTACTGTCGGACATTGTCCGTTTCTACTGCTAGAACGGACAGAGGATCATGAATGAATCATCAAGCACCAGGTATTTGGTTTGCTGTTGGCTACAATGTCATAACATCAGAAGCTACAGGATGATTGACTGATTTATTCTAGATTTCATTCCATTGTTATCGGAGTCTGGAGAAGCATTGATCAGTGAAAGGACCAAGAGTTTGACTCCGCTAAAAATGATGACACAAATATTTTTCGCTGTACAGAAATATTTTCAGCTTGCCTGTTGTACCGGTAGAATTTTTACACAACTGAGGTGAACGAGTAATGTAACTGACTCGACATCGGAAATAAAAATATTTCTATCCGGATAGAAAATATTATTTCTGTTTTGATGCCGCATATGGTGGCGGCAGGGTCGTACACAAAATCGAGGCGAGCGAGGCAAGGCGAGTAATAAACAAGGATTAAAATTAATTGACCCGTTCGATTCATTTATTCGTTCGTGATTTTTGAGTTCTGAAATGACGGTGAAGTGGGGTGTCAAGTTTTTTGACACAAAAACAAAAACACATTTGACCGCAAATGAAAGATTTCAATACGGCAAACAACAAACCACTTCAAACATTCTGGCTTGGTAGTAGCAGCCGAACAGCTACTTTCGTCGCGAATGGTTTCCTAATTCTTGCGACTCTCTTCGTGGTTCTTCTTGGAGATGTAGTAGTAGTAGGAAGAATGATGACCATCCATCATGATTTTGTTGTTGATCCCGAAACAAAACCGACAACTCATTTGGGCAGCGATTACATAGCGTGCTACGTATCCATTGGGTTATTGATGACACGTCTCCTTGTCTGTGGACTGGCAATCTGGGGTGCATATACATATCGCATATGGCCAGTTTTGACCTGCTTGGAATTCCTATCTCTAACGATGGCTGCACAAGTCGTATTCGGAATCGAGAGCAATCCACGTCGACTCACATTGCTCACACTGAAAGCCTATTTCATTTGGAGGCCAATGTATGTCTTTACAGACGAATGTGTTAGGTTGAAGGGTCAGGAAGAACAAGTTTGTAAAGAGTTTAACATTGTGGAATCACCGAAGCAAGATGTCGGCGTCCAAGATAGGTCCAGTGATAAGTACCTCGATGAAAGCTGCAAAATATGCTGTCAGTGTTAGACGCTGAAGGACATGAACAGCAGATACCTCATACTTGACAGCAAGATCCAGCTATGTTCCCTTTTGTTTGAAAAGGAAGCTTCTCATCTCTTGAAAATTGGAGAAAGATTCCATCAATTTACAGATATTATCCGAGTCGATAGACAAGCGCGAACCAGTGGTGGGAGTTCAAGAGGGAGGACCATTCTTGGTCTGAATTAACTTCCTTCATTTCAACTATTTTACCGGTATGTAATGCCGTATAAAGTACTTCGATAGTTCCGCCAAAGGTACAGCGAGTTCTTCAACTCAGGAGGAGCAACAAACATAAAGCTTTGCGGCAGAAGCTAGGCACAAACCAAACCTCGCAGGACGGACCAGACAATTGACTTGCTATGACTGCATTCGGCTTGCTCCTGCATATGTATTGATCCTCGCTTTCGTCTTACACTAATACTGCTTTCGAGCACCATTACTACTATACTATAGACTTGATAGTCACCCCCTCAACTCGCTCCCCCACTTCAAAACCGCCCAGTGCCCAGTTTTTAAAAAATCTCAGCTTCAACATACAGGTACCTGTGTTTTAAGGCCAGGCAGACATACCTGAGACTGGTTGGCTCGCTGACTGAAGCCGACAACACTAGCGATTTGTACGTGCGCGTTATGCGTACGTTGAGCGATAGTTTGCTTGGATGTTTTCACATCAACACAATTAATTTTTAGGCATCAAGGTTTTACGATTATTCTTGTTGCCTTAAAACAATTCCATGTTTTCGGATTCCCTGCAAAACCGACTCATAGGAATCCCCCGAATAAAACGGACCAAACGGACATTTGTCCGTCTGTCCGATCGGACGTGTCGAACTGCTTCCATCAAGGAGTTTCCAATGAATGGTCTCCAAGAGAGCAATTTCAACATGTAGATAAAGTTGGAAATCGGTTCTGGCGGACATCAGACTGCTTGTCTTCGTCCAAACCGATTGACAACGTTGTGGCCCATCAAGCCATGATTGCCAACCAGCCGTGCCAGCATGCGACCCATCATGCAGAGGCACCGTCCATAGCGATCTCCGATCCGCCTAATAGGAAATAATCATCTCTACAGGAAATAACTATTCTAAAAGACTTGTTATCTACATGGAATGGGCAAAGCAAAAGCCTTGCACGAAAACTCAAATTTCCCAAACCTTTACTGGATGTTTGCAATCCAGAAAGGCCGGTACAAAACCCACGTACAGAACTCCTGCAGGATTCAGTATGGGATTTTCGTGGCGCTCAGACGTTTCATGGTCCAAGTGTTTTAAGGCCAGGCAGACATACCTGAGACTGGTTGGCTCGCTGACTGAAGCCGACAACACTAGCGATTTGTACGTGCGCGTTATGCGTACGTTGAGCGATAGTTTGCTTGGATGTTTTCACATCAACACAATTAATTTTTAGGCATCAAGGTTTTACGATTATTCTTGTTGCCTTAAAACAATTCCATGTTTTCGGATTCCCTGCAAAACCGACTCATAGGAATCCCCCGAATAAAACGGACCAAACGGACATTTGTCCGTCTGTCCGATCGGACGTGTCGAACTGCTTCCATCAAGGAGTTTCCAATGAATGGTCTCCAAGAGAGCAATTTCAACATGTAGATAAAGTTGGAAATCGGTTCTGGCGGACATCAGACTGCTTGTCTTCGTCCAAACCGATTGACAACGTTGTGGCCCATCAAGCCATGATTGCCAACCAGCCGTGCCAGCATGCGACCCATCATGCAGAGGCACCGTCCATAGCGATCTCCGATCCGCCTAATAGGAAATAATCATCTCTACAGGAAATAACTATTCTAAAAGACTTGTTATCTACATGGAATGGGCAAAGCAAAAGCCTTGCACGAAAACTCAAATTTCCCAAACCTTTACTGGATGTTTGCAATCCAGAAAGGCCGGTACAAAACCCACGTACAGAACTCCTGCAGGATTCAGTATGGGATTTTCGTGGCGCTCAGACGTTTCATGGTCCAAGTGTTTTAAGGCCAGGCAGACATACCTGAGACTGGTTGGCTCGCTGACTGAAGCCGACAACACTAGCGATTTGTACGTGCGCGTTATGCGTACGTTGAGCGATAGTTTGCTTGGATGTTTTCACATCAACACAATTAATTTTTAGGCATCAAGGTTTTACGATTATTCTTGTTGCCTTAAAACAATTCCATGTTTTCGGATTCCCTGCAAAACCGACTCATAGGAATCCCCCGAATAAAACGGACCAAACGGACATTTGTCCGTCTGTCCGATCGGACGTGTCGAACTGCTTCCATCAAGGAGTTTCCAATGAATGGTCTCCAAGAGAGCAATTTCAACATGTAGATAAAGTTGGAAATCGGTTCTGGCGGACATCAGACTGCTTGTCTTCGTCCAAACCGATTGACAACGTTGTGGCCCATCAAGCCATGATTGCCAACCAGCCGTGCCAGCATGCGACCCATCATGCAGAGGCACCGTCCATAGCGATCTCCGATCCGCCTAATAGGAAATAATCATCTCTACAGGAAATAACTATTCTAAAAGACTTGTTATCTACATGGAATGGGCAAAGCAAAAGCCTTGCACGAAAACTCAAATTTCCCAAACCTTTACTGGATGTTTGCAATCCAGAAAGGCCGGTACAAAACCCACGTACAGAACTCCTGCAGGATTCAGTATGGGATTTTCGTGGCGCTCAGACGTTTCATGGTCCAAGTGTTTTAAGGCCAGGCAGACATACCTGAGACTGGTTGGCTCGCTGACTGAAGCCGACAACACTAGCGATTTGTACGTGCGCGTTATGCGTACGTTGAGCGATAGTTTGCTTGGATGTTTTCACATCAACACAATTAATTTTTAGGCATCAAGGTTTTACGATTATTCTTGTTGCCTTAAAACAATTCCATGTTTTCGGATTCCCTGCAAAACCGACTCATAGGAATCCCCCGAATAAAACGGACCAAACGGACATTTGTCCGTCTGTCCGATCGGACGTGTCGAACTGCTTCCATCAAGGAGTTTCCAATGAATGGTCTCCAAGAGAGCAATTTCAACATGTAGATAAAGTTGGAAATCGGTTCTGGCGGACATCAGACTGCTTGTCTTCGTCCAAACCGATTGACAACGTTGTGGCCCATCAAGCCATGATTGCCAACCAGCCGTGCCAGCATGCGACCCATCATGCAGAGGCACCGTCCATAGCGATCTCCGATCCGCCTAATAGGAAATAATCATCTCTACAGGAAATAACTATTCTAAAAGACTTGTTATCTACATGGAATGGGCAAAGCAAAAGCCTTGCACGAAAACTCAAATTTCCCAAACCTTTACTGGATGTTTGCAATCCAGAAAGGCCGGTACAAAACCCACGTACAGAACTCTTTGTACCATGTTGGAAATCGGTTCTGGCGGACATCAGACTGCTTGTCTTCGTCCAAACCGATTGACAACGTTGTGGCCCATCAAGCCATAATTGCCAACCAGCCGTGCCAGCATGCGACCCATCAAGTCGTCATGCAGAGGCACCGACCATAGCGATCTCCGATCCGCCTAATAGGAAATAATCATCTCTACAGGAAATAACTATTCTAAAAGACTTGTTATCTACATGGAATGGGCAAAGCAAAAGTCTTGCACGAAAACTCAAATTTCCCAAACCTTTACTGGATGTTTGCAATCCAGAAAGGCCGGTACAAAACCCACATACAGAACTCCCGCAGGATTCAGTATGGGATTTTCGTGGCGTTCAGACGTTTGCCCACAATTCCACCGACTCATAGGAATCCCCCGAATAAAAACGGACCAAACGGACATTTGTCCGTCTGTCCGATCGGACGTGTCGAACTGCTTCTATCAAGGAGCTTCCAATGAATGGTCTCCAAGAGAGCAGTAGATAATGTTGGAAATCGGTTCTGGCGGACATCAGACTGCTTGTCTTCGTCCAAACCGATTGACAACTTTGTGGCCCATAAAGCCAACATTGCCAACCACTCATGCCAACATGCGACCCATCAAGTCGTCATGCAGAGGCACCGACCATAGCGATCTCCGATCCGCCTAATAGGAAATAATCATCTCTACAGGAAATAACTATTCTAAAAGACTTGTTATCTACATGGAATGGGCAAAGCAAAAGCCTTGCACGAAAACTCAAATTTCCCAAACCTTTACTGGATGTTTGCAATCCAGAAAGGCCGGTACAAAACCCACGTACAGAACTCCTGCAGGATTCAGTATGGGATTTTCGTGGCGCTCAGACGTTTCATGGTCCAAGTGTTTTAAGGCCAGGCAGACATACCTGAGACTGGTTGGCTCGCTGACTGAAGCCGACAACACTAGCGATTTGTACGTGCGCGTTATGCGTACGTTGAGCGATAGTTTGCTTGGATGTTTTCACATCAACACAATTAATTTTAAGGCATCAAGGTTTTACGATTATCCTCTGAGGTCAATGCACATCCTTTAAACACCTGGTACTCGTACTATAGTAAGAGTCAGTCACAGCAACAGCATTTTATGACCGCGGCTGAGATTCCTACGAGGAACATCTGTAGAAATTACTACCAGAGTGATAAAATCTGAATCTTGGGTGACTAAGGCTTGAAGTGGGTTCGCATCCCAAACAGAAAACACCACATTTTATTGAAAAGCAAACGAGACGATCTACCATCATGCCTGAAAAATTTACAAACGGACCCTTTGGATGCTGTGGAAACCCAGGAGGATGCGGCACCTGCTGCATGACGTGAGTTTCTGATGTTGGCATCTGAAACGAGATAACATCTGTTGGATTTTGGACTAACCCTTGTCAAATCTTTTTTTTTGCACATCCAAAATCTCCTATTTCGCCTGCAGAGCTTGCTGCCCATGTTATGCTTTTTACACCGCCGCTGAGGATATTGGAGATTCCAATGGCGCTTTGTACTGCGTTGCAACCCTTCTTGGATTTGGTCCGTGCATGCTTTGCTTGTTGGCTGACAAGGTTGCTCAAGCGAGGAACATCGATCAAGGAATGCCAATGCACGCACTTTGCGCATGCTGCGAATGCGTCACATGCTTTTCCTGTGCCGTCGTCAACGAGGCCAAGCTCTACAAGGAACAATCTGGAGCTCCTGGAGGACAAAAGATTGAAGGCCGATAAACTAGCTTGTCATTTTGACGTCGGATGACAGATTTGAGATAATTGTCGAATAACACATAGTTGCAGGAGCCACTGCACTTGTATTCACTGGATCTACCGACAAGAATTCCTTTGTTGTTTATTCCTCGGGTATTTTTGCGAACATCGCAAATGTAACCGACCAGAATGATGACAAAGATGAGGTTGATTCGGTGTGTCAAGTGTAATACAATTTCATCTGCCGGCCCGATAATAGGTGAATGTCATGTCATTCTTTGTTAAAGTCCAACAATATAGTACTGTGCCGAGTTTCCTAGTCTCGTTCACAATATGATAGTCATTCAGCTGCCAACTCGTACTCGAAAATATACGGCGTCTTTTTCTCTGATGATCATCGAGATATGTCCTCATCATGTAATATCCCGAGCACAGCAACCTACCACATAATAAGCGTTCTCTCTATGGTCTGCTGTCTTCTCATTTCATTGGCATGGGTTCCAAGTCTCTTTTAGCGTACCTCGAGTCTGCCATTGGCGATCAATAATATCCAAAAGATACACGGCTCAACCAACAAGATGCACGGCTTGGATCTTGTCCTCAGCTGTACAGCATGATCCTTGGTAATTTTTCACATGTCTGACCCTCAAAGCGTATCGACATCAGGAAGAGTGTAAATTTATCCTCTACAAAATCTGCAATAATGAGGCTTCTATGTTTGATGGTGCGAAGACCGTAGGACCCGGCATGACAGAATTTGTCGGACATTCGGTTTGCCTTGTTGGCAAGAACAAGATGGATGTATTCCCTCTGGTTCGGGATTATGTACTCCAAAACCGTAACGGACCACATTGATGCGCTTTCACATCGTTCTGCAATTACCCGGTAATATCATGTTCCGAATGGAGATGAAGATGACGAGGAGGGCAAGAGTACTTTCAGTCTCTAATCTCAATACTGCGTTTGGTCGGAATATAGGAAGGCGATGCATTCAATTGCCACGTTCAAAAGCGTGTTGGCGAGTTTATTGCCCCTTTTTTTTGCGGAGTTATTTCGTGTTCATCTCATCTTTCCATGATGCAAGTCGTGTCTGTGCGACTTCAATCCTTTCATGTCAGTGGAACACGCGGTTGGTACAAATTCTACGCAGTGTGCTACTCACAAAGCGTCCGATCAAAAACCAGAATTCAAAACCATTTTTGCTTCCAACCCACACTATCATAAATTACAATCTCGAAGAAAAGCAATATAGCAGTCAAAGAAAGCAAAAGCATGGCAAAGAATAGCAAGAAGGTAAGCAGTCTCTTTTCATGTTTCAAGCATCGTTGTCAGCAATAGTACAGCAGAGCTGCTGTCGACCATGGCAGGCACAGAACAACAGTTCTCGGTCCACGTCATTACCACACCGCATGAATCCAATCTCACAGTACCCCTTTTCCGATACATACAACAGACCGCCGACGACACCAATAACACCAAGTCTAATGCTGAGGGCAAGGGAGCCAAGGGCGGCAAGGGCAAGAAATCTGCAGCTGACAAGAAGTCAAAGCCAGCTGAAGACAACAAGAAGAAGCCAGCCGGAGGCAAGAAAGGCAAAAAGCAATAGCCCATTGAGAATCACAAATGATGATCGATTTGATCGCCTGACAGGATCCAGCACCACAGTTTGAAAGTAACCAGAAAGCTTGCGATGAGAATGTCCGTGTTAGTAGAGATTCCGACAGTTAGTGTAGATAACAACTGAGAATAAACTGACTTTAAAATGATGGAACGCGAATCTGATATTTCACCTAACTCTAACTTCAAATATATTCGATGCCCGTGCGTACCAGCCTCAATCCAATCCCAAACCAATAGATGGCGAAACTTGGTACAAGTACCGATCTGGTGGCGCGAAACACAGGAGGCATCACTACTCGAATCATCAGAGTGGTTCGATTCTGATGGAAATGAAGGATCGCTAGCAGCAAGAGTTAATACTATTAAGTAGGGTCGTATGTTCCGGACCGCAACTATGAAACATCCTGCATACATGGTCATGTTGGCAGAACAGCTAATAATCATCTGTCACCATATATATCTATTTCTATTTTCAAAATGGTCCCAAAACAACATGGTCGAAATCGCAAAGATGCGCGTTTCGTTGTGTCTGCCTCTCTTTTCGTAGTATTTCGGTTTTCATCTCATTTTTTCATGGTGCAAGTCGTGTCTGTGCGAGTTCGGCACTGGATATTCTTCGACGAGAGTGTACACGTTTACACACGTGTACACGCGTACACACATGTAACCGGTACGACGCCGTTGGTACAAGTGGTACACTCATTGAAAGCGTCCGATCAAAAACCAGAATTCAAAACCATTTTTGCTTCCAACCCACACTATCATAAATTTCCATCTGGAAGAAAGCAATATAGCGTTCAAAGAAAGCGAAAGCATGGCAAAGAATAGCAAGAAGGTAAGCAGTCTCTTTTCACGTTTCAAGCATCGTTGTCAGCAATAGTACAGCAGAGCTGCTGTCGACCATGGCAGGCACAGAACAACAGTTCTCGGTCCACGTCATTACCACACCGCATGAATCCAATCTCACAGTACCCCTTTTCCGATACATACAACAGACCGCCGACGACACCAATAACACCAAGTCTAATGCTGAGGGCAAGGGAGCCAAGGGCGGCAAGGGCAAGAAATCTGCAGCTGACAAGAAGTCAAAGCCAGCTGAAGACAACAAGAAGAAGCCAGCCGGAGGCAAGAAAGGCAAAAAGCAATAGCCCATTGAGAATCACAAATGATGATCGATTTGATCGCCTGACAGGATCCAGCGCCACAGTTTGAAAGTAACCAGAAAGCTTGCGATGAGAATGTCCGTGTTAGTAGAGATTCCGACAGTTAGTGTAGATAACAACTGAGAATAAACTGACTTTAAAATGATGGAACGCGAATCTGATATTTCACCTAACTCTAACTTCAAATATATTCGATGCCCGTGCGTACCAGCCTCAATCCAATCCCAAACCAATAGATGGCGAAACTTGGTACAAGTACCGATCTGGTGGCGCGAAACACAGGAGGCATCACTACTCGAATCATCAGAGTGGTTCGATTCTGATGGAAATGAAGGATCGCTAGCAGCAAGAGTTAATACTATTAAGTAGGGTCGTATGTTCCGGACCGCAACTATGAAACATCCTGCATACATGGTCATGTTGGCAGAACAGCTAATAATCATCTGTCACCATATATATCTATTTCTATTTTCAAAATGGTCCCAAAACAACATGGTCGAAATCGCAAAGATGCGCGTTTCGTTGTGTCTGCCTCTCTTTTCGTAGTATTTCGGTTTTCATCTCATTTTTTCATGGTGCAAGTCGTGTCTGTGCGAGTTCGGCACTGGATATTCTTCGACGAGAGTGTACACGTTTACACACGTGTACACGCGTACACACATGTAACCGGTACGACGCCGTTGGTACAAGTGGTACACTCATTGAAAGCGTCCGATCAAAAACCAGAATTCAAAACCATTTTTGCTTCCAACCCACACTATCATAAATTTCCATCTGGAAGAAAGCAATATAGCGTTCAAAGAAAGCGAAAGCATGGCAAAGAATAGCAAGAAGGTAAGCAGTCTCTTTTCACGTTTCAAGCATCGTTGTCAGCAATAGTACAGCAGAGCTGCTGTCGACCATGGCAGGCACAGAACAACAGTTCTCGGTCCACGTCATTACCACACCGCATGAATCCAATCTCACAGTACCCCTTTTCCGATACATACAACAGACCGCCGACGACACCAATAACACCAAGTCTAATGCTGAGGGCAAGGGAGCCAAGGGCGGCAAGGGCAAGAAATCTGCAGCTGACAAGAAGTCAAAGCCAGCTGAAGACAACAAGAAGAAGCCAGCCGGAGGCAAGAAAGGCAAAAAGCAATAGCCCATTGAGAATCACAAATGATGATCGATTTGATCGCCTGACAGGATCCAGCGCCACAGTTTGAAAGTAACCAGAAAGCTTGCGATGAGAATGTCCGTGTTAGTAGAGATTCCGACAGTTAGTGTAGATAACAACTGAGAATAAACTGACTTTAAAATGATGGAACGCGAATCTGATATTTCACCTAACTCTAACTTCAAATATATTCGATGCCCGTGCGTACCAGCCTCAATCCAATCCCAAACCAATAGATGGCGAAACTTGGTACAAGTACCGATCTGGTGGCGCGAAACACAGGAGGCATCACTACTCGAATCATCAGAGTGGTTCGATTCTGATGGAAATGAAGGATCGCTAGCAGCAAGAGTTAATACTATTAAGTAGGGTCGTATGTTCCGGACCGCAACTATGAAACATCCTGCATACATGGTCATGTTGGCAGAACAGCTAATAATCATTTGTCACCATATATCTATTTCTATTTTCAAAATGGTCCTAAAACAACATGGTCGAAATCGCAAAGATGCGCGTTTCGTTGTGTCTGCAGTATTCGCCTCTCTTTTCGTAGTATTTCGGTTTTCATCTCATTTTTTCATGGTGCAAGTCGTGTCTGTGCGAGTTCGGCACTGGATATTCTTCGACGAGATTGTACGCACGTGTACACGCGTACACACATGTACCCGGTACGTGTACGACGCCGTTGGTACAAATGGTACACTCATTGAAAGCGTCCGATCAAAAACCAGAATTCAAAACCATTTTTGCTTCCAACCCACACTATCATAAATTTCCATCTGGAAGAAAGCAATATAGCGGTCAAAGAAAGCGAAAGCATGGCAAAGAATAGCAAGAAGGTAAGCAGTCTCTTTTCATGTTTCAAGCATCGTTGTCAGCAATAGTACAGCAGAGCTGCTGTCGACCATGGCAGGCACAGAACAACAGTTCTCGGTCCACGTCATTACCACACCGCATGAATCCAATCTCACAGTACCCCTTTTCCGATACATACAACAGACCGCCGACGACACCAATAACACCAAGTCTAATGCTGAGGGCAAGGGAGCCAAGGGCGGCAAGGGCAAGAAATCTGCAGC